AGTAAGGAAATATTGTGTACAATTTCAACTTCCGATTTTCGGAAGGGATCACATGTAGAAAATTCTGTTTAGGGGGAAATACAAACAAACAAACAATGTAAAGTTGTACCTTCTATAGTCTAGATATGTAATATATGAGATTCTTAGGGAAAGAGATGGAATATAGGTGAAAAGTCCGCCATTTCTAGTTATTAATTTATAGTATTTCGTTCAATCATCGCCATTTCCGTGAAAGATTTCAAAACACAGGGTCTCGGGAGATTTATATAGATATATGATTATATAATGTTGTAATAAGATATGGGATTATAAGTTACAAATCGATATATATATATCTTTCTCTATTCTCGTGAGAGTGAGAAATGAACATTGTAATTTGCTCTTGCGGTACCCAGATATTTGCATAATCAAAACATTTAAATCTTCATCAGTATATATCTTCCAAAATATACTGTATTCAAACCCAATTTTGCTTTAAACTACTGAAATACATATTCTTGTATCACTGAACGTTGTCATATTCCGACGTGATTAAACAAAAGTGGGAAACCGATCGCACCACAGCAACGTTTGTGGTACGTTCATAGAATGCTCCGTTTAAATGCATATACACAAATTAGCAAATGCTATACTCTTTAGGCTTTGTCTTTTTACATGTCATATATGTATTTATCATTAATTTCATGTGAATATGAAATAAGCGCTGTACAGGCGATGACAAAGAGGGTCAAATATTACAAAATACAAATTTCGTCAACAGGTCTCGATTTTTACTAACTTCCTTAACTCAAATGTTTCCTTAACTTAATTTTCCTTACAGTTCTTGAGTAAGATTATTTACGTTTTCTCAAACTTTTGTTGATTTTACGACAATGATCACGGTAGTCCAAATGGTTCTATCTATCCGCGATTTTATTTTTGTCTTAGTCGCGGGCGAAAGTCATAACTCCTTCTAAAAAAAAAAAATAAATAAATAAAAGAGACTCATGCAAGTTTCAGCATCTACACAACCTTTGAAATAGTTTACAACAACGCCATAGTTATAAATCATAGACCAATGAATAGATAAGATTTTTTTCTACTTACTTACATATGTGTCAAAGCAATTAAAGTTGGAAACCGTGTTTTTCCACTCATTTTCCTCGATAACTTTACTTTCCAGCATATGTGAAATTTCATTCAATTGTTCCACATGAAAGGTTGAAAAGACATTTTGTCAGTTATATTCGTGGTAATTATACCATTCCCGCCAGTCTCATGATGATTTACTCAGATTGTCACAAACTCGTTAAACGATATTGAATGTAAGAGTAGACCTCTTCTCCTGTGTACTGGTTTTATTTTAAAACAATTTTGAATGTTTTTTTTTTAATAAAAATAGGCGTGACTTGTTTTATGATGTATATGCAGTAGCACTATCGCCGAAGCAAGTTATCACAGAGTGCATTGCGGTACCCCAATAATGATAATAATATTGTGATTATTAAGGAAGGACAACTATGATAGAGATTGCCGCCTAAGTAACACCTTGACGTCATTCGTCACGTGACATCGTTTCGCATTCAAAATGCATCATTTCAAACTGAAAAATGCCATAACGAAAAATCGTGGCCAAAACCCTTTAAGGCTCAGGAACTTTCGTCACTTTCATGCAGGAGAAATACTACATCGTCTCTAACACTAAAACCGCCGAAAGGTCCCGAATTGGCGTGGAACCTGCCGTCTCCAAACTGACTACTACAAAACATGCCCCTGTTCTGAAATCATCCTACTGATCAAACAGTTTGTTTTTTAAACTGAACACATCAGTCATGTTTCCGAAGGTGATAAAGAATGATTTTGTAATGATTTTTATGTCATGAACAAGTTTTGTCCTATATTTTATTCTAATTTTTTTTTGAAGTTATCAGTGACTTAAAAGCACACTGTAAACATGTATGAAGCACTGAAACAAACTTACATTGCAATTTCAAACATTGATGACATTACTTTTTTGTTGTGTTTTTGTATCAGTAACCAAAGGGTGTGTGAATGGCGCTTGACGACTGAAGTGAATTATACAGATATATTGATGCACCACAACGTAAAGAAGCTCAGTGCAGGGGATGTAGTGGAAATTTTCCCAGGTAATATTTACAGTGATAAACCATTTTAGTTGTAAGTCCAGGTGACAAAAAAAGATAAAGAACTTGTTATATTCCAAAACATATTCCATACAGAACAGACAAATCCTGAAATAGTATACTCTTGATTACCCTAACATACAACATAAAGGTTGATTGTTTTACGAAGTTAAAAGTACAGGTTGTCTTACTAGCCACAGGTAGTGGGAATTGCCCTTTAGTGGAGCGGTAGAGTGTCCGGCTAGAGACAGAAGGGTTGCTAGTTCGAACCCAAGTGAGGCAGGGTGTTTTTTCCTTACTCTTTCTTATTACACATGTAATATGGTGAAAAGGGTTGTAACTGCCAAGAAGGACAACCAAACAAATTTTCAAAAATTGTGATAATTGATATTCTAGTGGCCGTAAATCTTTGAAGCACATACTTATTAGCTTGAGACAAATATTTCTTTCCAAAGAGTGTTTGATGAAGGAGATTGATGGAGTATTGACCAAGTTATTACATCCTGACAAATTGGAAAAACACGGAGGGGTGAAAGCTTGAAAGTAACACACATATTTATACTCTTTGACAGTACACTAATTGACACTCAGGAACAGTACATATTTACACTACGTCAGTACACACTATTTGACACTCAGGCCCAGTACATATTTACACTCTATGACAGTACACACTATTTGACACTCAGACCCAGTACATATTTACACTTTACGACAGTACAAACTATTTGACACTCAGACCCAGTATATATTTACACTCTACGACAGTACACACTATTTGACACTCCAGAACAGTACATATTTACACTCTACGACAGTACACACTATTTGACACTCCAGAACAGTACATATTTACACTCTACGACAGTACACACTATTTGACATTCCAGAACAGTACATATTTACACTACGACAGTACACACTATTTGACATTCCAGAACAGTACATATTTACACTACGACAGTACACACTATTTGACATTCCAGAACAGTACATATTTACACTACGACAGTACACACTATTTGACATTCCAGAACAGTACATATTTACACTACGTCAGTACACACTATTTGACACTCCAGAACAGTACATATTTACATTCTACGACAGTACACACTATTTGACACTCAGATAGTACATATTTACACTCTACGACAGTACACACTATTTGACACTCAGACCCAGTATATATTTACACTTTACGGCAGTACACACTATTCAACACTCCAGAACAGTACATATTTACACTTTACGTCAGGACACACTATTTGACACTCAGACCCAGTACATATTTACACTCTACGACAGTACACACTATTTGACACTCAGAGATAGTACATATTTACACTTTACGACAGTACACACTATTTGACACTCCAGAACAGTACATATTTACACTCTACGAAGTACACACTATTTGACACTCCAGAACAGTACATATTTACACTACGTCAATACACACTATTTGACATTCCAGAACAGTACTTATTTACACTACGACAGTACACACTATTTGACATTCCAGAACAGTAGATATTTACACTACGTCAGTACACATTATTTGACATTCCAGAACAGTACATATTTACACTACGTCAGTACACACTATTTGACATTCCAGAACAGTACATATTTGTAGTACACAGCATTTTATACTACAATTTGTGTAGTAATAATACCCAGAATGTAAATATTCATATCTACCACGATTATCTTTTGGTGGACATCTCACCTGGACCATATACAGTCCTCGCTGCAACCTCTGCAACTCTGAAAGGGACTCCCTCTTTTTTGGGATGGTTTTGCTCCGTAATGTATCATTCCTGTTTTAGTTTGTTCCACACTTTAAACCTGAAATGAGATCAACAAGAAATTGAATTGCTTTGAAGCATTATTTGACATTCCAGAACAGTACATATTTACACTACGTCAGTACACACTCTATGACACTCCAGAACAGTACATATTTACACTACGTCAGTACACACTATTTGACACTCAGAGATAGTACATATTTACACTACGTCAGTACACACTATTTGACACTCCAGAACAGTACATATTTACAATCTACATCAGGACACACTATTTGACACTCAGAGACAGTACATATTTACACTCTACGACAGTACACACTATTTGACACTCAGACCCAGTACATATTTACACTCTATGACAGTACACACTATTTGACACTCAGAGATCGTACATATTTACACTTTACGACAGTACACACTATTCCACACTCCAGAACAGTACATATTTACACTCTACGACAGTATACACTATTTGACACTCAGACCCAGTACATATTTACATTCTACGACAGTACACACTATTTGACACTCAGATAGTACATATTTACACTCTACGACAGTACACACTATTTGACACTCAGACCCAGTATATATTTACACTTTACGTCAGGACACACTATTTGACACTCAGAGACAGTATATATTTACACTCTGCATCAGTATTTCTCACAGTTTAATGTTTGTACGAGTAAAGTTCAAGATTTCACATACACAACAGTTCATATTTACACTCTCACAAACCATGCACATATTCTCTCTGATGACCACTATACATAATTTTGCATTCATATGCTATCCATTATTCCTCATACTCATGTAAAGCTAGGACATTTATGATTTCACATTCATGAACAGTATATAAAATTTCAGGGTCGTGAAAATACACACAATATTTCACACAAACAGTACACTTGATTTCACATAAACAGTACACATGTTTACACAACCAGGAACCATACACGTTTTCACAATGATGAACACTTCATACAAGTTCACACTGACGAAGAACATGAGAAAACTGTCATGGCAAGTTTACATTTCTCTTCTGATTTATTGACAGATTGTGATTATTCTTCTAAACACACTGTGGTCCACGACAGTACAACTGAAGATAGATTAACCGATAGCAATTTTGCAAGTCCAGTTTGTGTAAGATTTAACGTAACATCTGGTACACAAAATTCTGGATTTCAGGAAACTTTCGTCGCTTATCCAAGTAAGTCAAAAAAGTTTGCTGCATATTTTATTATTTATACTGCATAAACTTTAGATGAAACTTAAAAATCCCAATGTCTGTGCATATGGATATCTATGTGTGGTGTGGTGATTAAGCTTGCTCAAGAGTATTCAGTCTTGTCATTACCTATACTGGTTATAAATGTTTACATCCCGAAAAGAAAGCAAAGATGTAATGTTGCATGATGTAAATATTTGCAAAAAGTAAATTCAACTTCTGTTTAAGTATTTGCTCTTGGATCTATTTTGTTGCTGTTCGCAATGTCACCCAAGTGGTGCCGCCTGCTTCCATTATATTGCCATTCAATTGAATTGTTGGATTTTTAAAAATATTTTCTGTATATGCAACAAGGCATTTTTGTACAGAAAGGTTATCACTTCTTGTCTCTGTTGTTTACCTGGTGTTTACCTGTTGTCCACCTGACATTTTACTATTCAATGTTTACCAGTTGTGTACGTAACACTTCACCAATAAATATTTACCTGTTTATGTGACACTTTACCAATTAATATTTACATGTCGTATGATATTGTGTAATATGAACTGTTTGTAGGTACAGGGAACGACACAGTGTGTTCTCCATTGGACATCAATAGCAAAGTTGCCACTACAACTCCTCAGTATTTTTACAACCAACAGTTTCCTGCTCTGTATTCCAAGTAAGATACTATGCATGTAGACAATGAGTCACATATTATGATAAAACGTTTTTTTGTGTATAACTCATGGTTGTATTATGACAATCCATGTTTATGATAACTCATGTACTTTGCATTTTGAAAAATATCATGCATTTTATTGAGAGGTAATGTTTGCTCCAAACAATTTTTTAGGAGAACTAATTTTTTTATATGTATCTTCAGTGTATGTTTGAGAAAGTCTTTGGTGTCAAAAAATATTTGTTACACCTTTTGAATGTATCTCTTAATTTTGTTTCCTGAATGAAACTTCAATTATATCATTTGAAAGTACCTCAAACAAGGATATAACTACCAAGATATTTTGTAATATTATGAAAAATTTAAATCCCATTTTCTGTTTTAAGTCTCATTTGGCATGGACACCATGCCGTTAATTGGTGTCTATAGTCAATGTGTATTTACAAACAAAAATAAATGTTAACATATGTTTTGTTCAATGATATGAGACAAGGTGAATGGATTAAGATTGAAAAGATTGATAAAATGTATTTACTTTTCAGAAATGTACATTATTTTACATTTACAACATTTTGAAAACATAAATGTGGTAATATTTTGTGTCATAAATGTTACGACCAAAGATATACTAAAGATTAAATTTACTTGGGTATTCTTTCTGCCTTGTGGTTGAGTATATCCTTGCATAAGTGGTTGGTGTCCTGATAATAGTAAATGTAGTGAAAAACCTCAGAACTTGTTTCAAAGAAATTTAATCATTGAGAGCTTTTATAAATTGTGTCATAATGTTTGGTCCCAGGCATCGAAACTACAGCAATTTATCTCTTATCACAAGTACATTGGTAAATATTTTGTTAGAGGCGTGTATAACATATTGGTTTCCGGCTGTTTAACGGCGTCTGCACTATCATGATTCGAAAGATGACCTATATACTGGTTGGTGGTCATGTAAGTCCAATGTTACATCCATGACATTAGATTGCTATTTAGGCCAACCATTGAACATGTTGTTTGAAATGTTTGATATATTTTAAAGGAAAATGATGGTTGAAGATCAACCACCGACAAATTATTGTGCTGTGACCAGTTTTAGCAGAGGTTTGCTTTATTGTTTGATGCATTATAGTGTCTATTGGTATGTCCTGATGAATTACTCTCAAAATGTGGCAGATACGTTTGATTATTAGTCTCATATAACACAAGACCTTTTTATATTTAACAAATGGTGGATAAGAAGCATGTGGCATATTATATCATTAGTGGTTCCTTTGACACACATGATACCAAACATAATTTAGTGTCTTTGTTACGTCTTTTGATTTACTACTTTGATGATAAAATGTGCAGAGACAATACTCTATGTAAAGCAACTTTACATGACATTATATTTAACATTAAAATTTTCTGGTGTACGACAGGTGCATCTATATTTTCTTTTGAAATATGTCTAGGATGTAACATGTAATGCAAAACACCATGATTGCAACCGGTGAATAAAGTCATTATCAAGAGATAAAATTCTTTAAACATTACGTTAAAAATCTTTAGAGATATTTTTTACTCAGTTGCAATTTAGAAAAAATGCGTCTTCCTCTATTACTACCCAAAAGATTTGTTGATCGTAAAATTGGTGTCCTGTTACGTCTGCTAATTATTTTTGGGAGTAAAACTTAATTGATGGCCTAAATCTGAAGTAATAAATAATTATGGCATTATTTTGATATAAAGTATTTTTTCATGAATTTGACAATCAAATGTACTTGAGAAGGAAGTATATTTTCAATTGAACAGCCTTTGATGTCCTGTTAAATCAAGGAAATCTACATAAATGGTTGTATTTTCTCGGTCATTCAAAGCAGAATCATCCTGTCCTTTATTTATCAGGATGCAACATCATTTTACGATGTGAAATCTACCACATCATGGTGTTTCACCTTGTTTGAAATGTTCAAAAATGGTTGTCCCAAACAGAACAAATATTTTATGATGCCAAAGACTTGCTCTTATTTACAGAAAGAGGAGGGTTTTATTCAAGTTGTAAGGCATCAGTTAATAATTGCAACTGTACTATGATCAAACATTTATACCACAAACCTCATATGGAATAAACTGTGAAAGGTTTTTGATTGACTTAAGTATCTAACTTAAGTTGTATAACCTATATATGAAAACACATGGAGAGGCAAAGCAGCCTCTAAGTAACTAATTAGATAGTTATTGTGTCGCCTGCAGCGCTGGCGGACACTTAGGGATCACTTTGTCCGTCATCACGCGTCGGCGCTGTCTGCGGCGTCCGTACGAAAGTTTTTGTTATTGAAATGCAATTTGGTATATGGCTTCTTGTTGGAAGGGTACAGATTAGTTTTGACATCCAGTTCGATTTCTGGGTGACTGTGACACTTTATGCAGGCGACACATGCAGTTTCGAGGAACTCTTGTATATATTGTATATATATATATATATATCACTGATTGTCGGAGTATAATAGGTAAAAAATACTTTGACATTCATTCTTAGATCTTATGTGAAAGAACAAGGGAAATACCCACTACCATTTCAGTCGAGTGCCCTGACCAGGAATTGGACCTAGGTCTTTGGCATGATAATCGATCGGCTTTTCCAGCTAGGCTGAAGAAACATGTTCGATCAGATCAACTGAGAGATAGAGACCATATTTCACATAATGCACAAGCCCCAACAACCCACTCCTTTTACAAATATATACTGAAAGACAAGACATGTACATCCTTGTACTGGAAACAAAGCACAACTGATATATGTTTAAAACCAACATATACCTATTCTAACGACTACTTTACCTATCTGCCATAAACTGTTTTAGCTCATCTGTTCTGAAGGGCCGGTGAGCTTATGCCATAATTCTAGTGGTCCTCATCAGTCTGTTATCCCTCTGCTTCAACTTTTTCTACAAAACGTTAATAGTCTTGAAACACTGAGCAGATATCGATCAAATGGGGTCAGAAGCATCATTGGCAGAAGCAGAGCACATTTTGTGTGGAACGTCCTGGCCCCCTCGGGCCTGAGGGGCTGGACCCAATAGAGGAAGTAAAGCAAATTATTTAAAATCTGACTCCTCCTATAGGAATCTTTGGATTTTGCCTAAATATTATATTTACGTGGTCAAAATGTACATAAGTCAAAAATATAAAACAAGACGGTTAAAAGTAAGACAAGAAAAAGAATGTTACAATGTTTTTAAAGATTAGTTTTGATATCAATGAAAAATATCTTCTGATGTAGATAATGGATATATCTGAAGCTGACGTTAGATCTCATAAAATACCTTAGGGCCACTGATATATCTAGATACGTTTTTAAGAATATATTAATTATCATAGTTAGAAAGAAGTAAACTGCCTTTAATTGAAATTGTAGACAATTATATTGATATTAAAAACAAAATATTATGTTGCTACGTAAATAAAGGACAGGTGAAGAAATAATGAAGTTTGGAAATGCTGATTGATCAAGTTGGATAGAAGTAAATGTATCATAAGTGGTTTTGTCATGTGATTGTAGTCACTGAGTCAGTAGTATGTTCATATAGGAGTAACAATGTATGATAGCTCACCTTAGTGGTATGGTCATGTGATTGTGGTCACTGAGTCAGTAGTATGTTCATATAGGAGTAACAATGTATGATAGCTCACCTTAGTGGTACAGTCATGTGATTGTGGTCACTGAGTCAGTAGTATGTTCATATAGGAGTAACAATGTATGATAGCTCACCTTAGTGGTATAGTCATGTGATTGTGGTCACTGAGTCAGTAGTATGTTCATATAGGAGTAACAATGTATGATAACTCACCTTAGTGGTATAGTCATGTGATTGTGGTCACTGAGTCAGTAGTATGTTCATATAGGAGTAACAATGTATGATAACTCACCTTTAACACTTCTATTAGTTGTGTAATAAGAATTTCTTTCCTGTTTACATTACCAATCTGAAGAAAATATTAATTGTAACATATATTATATAGTTTCGGTTGTGTTTTCTTACAGTACAGATCAAGCTTAGTAACATTTATGATATGGTTAATTTTATATCTTACTTTACCTAAAATGTGATTAACTTGACCTTCAGTAACGAGAACTGCTCATGGCAAATAACGAATGGTGGAACTGGAAAGGATATAATCCTTACATTTGAAATCTTGTCCCTGGAGAAGACAGGAGACATATGCTTAGATTACTTAAACGTCAAAGCAGGTATGTCATCATGCTGAGTTACCCACCTTGTGACTCGCAAAATTCATTCAATAGTTCCGCCAATAATTAGTACATATGAACTAACATTTGATGAAGTAGGAGACACTATCTGTTCCAGAACACCTGTTTTGAACGAGAACCGTGATTTTTTTGCAGGACGATGAGTGGCTGATTTTGTTTCATACCATTTAAGGTCACTTGAATTTCATTAACTATTGAGATGACAAACTTTCTTAAATAAGAGATTTAATGGTACATGTCTTTAAGAAAATTTTTAGCGTATTTCAATATTGTTGAGCAGATTTACAAACTATGTGTAAAAAAATCTGGGCTTTTCCTTGGTAGGTTGTAAGCATTATGTGTTTCAGTTTCTGGTTGAAGATATCTGAAACAGGAATTCCCTGTTAAAAAGTCATGGTAGGAGAAACAGAAATTTGACAAAAATGTGTACTTTTGCATGTGAAACCCCAAATATCTCTATAACAATTTTTTTTCTGGATAATACTCCAACCGCCTGAGGTTGTAGATGACATTGAGCACATAACTATATAATTGTTGTCAAGTTGTTTTTGTTTTTGCTTTTACATAAACACAGGTTACACAGTTATTATATGTTGATATGCTTCCCCATGAATTGCTGATAATGTCTGTATCATATATTATTGTATAAATACATCTGTGTCAATGCTTAATGATCAATTTTTATTTTTCTAGGTGGAGAAACCATTGGTACAACCTATTGTGTGACAGATGTGTTCATTACGCCATTCTCACGAAGGAATTCTAGTTTTTGGCTAGAATTTCATACCGATGATGCAGATAGATATCGCGGATTTGTTGTAAGCTATGTACTAGAAGAGCCATGTGAAGGCAAGCTGAATACATTACAGGCTCGGCCACATCTCAGTTACCTGTCTTCCATCGAGTACCCAAATAATTATCAAAGGTACATCTTGCTGTAGTATCACAAAATGTCATTAAAATGATAAATGTATGTCTTGATAATGAGTGCATCTAGGAAATGTATGTCTTCATTGGTTGAATTTTAGTATGTAAATTTAACAATGTTTATAATCTGCATTGCAACTTCCCCGAACCAATCCTTCTCAAAACTGATCACCTCTTGAAACCAAAAGAAATAGCGATTTACAGAATGGCATCCTCTTTCTTTAATTAATAAAAAAGCTTTCCAATACTGATCGCTCTCAATTCCTTACACTTGCTTACCTGAGCAATTGAAGAACCAAAGTCTAACCATCAGACTGTAAAAACAGCACTTGTAGACATACAGGTCACGGGTAAAGGCCAGGGTGTATTCACAGTACCTACCCTGATTGGGAGGATTATAATTAACACTTCATGTAATTATCACCAATGACAAGATGAAAACATTGAACTTGTATATTGTTTCTCGTAAATGAGATAAAGTTGTAGAGCAAAATTACTTATCCTGAGCTAGAAAGCAGTGGTTTGCATCTCAATGGGTAATTTTGATATGTACAAAAAATGGAAAAAAATAATGAAGTGTTGTTTGAAAAGAAAATTTTGTGATATTGATCATCAGAAACACTAGTGTATTAAATATATGGATTGTAAACACTGGCAGACAAACAGATCATGTGACAGGGGACCAGGCTTGGTCATGTTTAACATTAGTAATTGCTGATATTGCTGCATAATTCATATATTTCTCTGCAATTAAAGTCACATATTGTATGCAGATATCATTGTTTTGGAGTTTTTAGTTCATACTTGATCTGAAACATCATTTGTGGGCAGAAAATCATTTCTTAAATTCAGACAGTTGATTTTACCCATAGGGAACTGGAGAGGAGGTGGTGAAAAGGGGAAGTAAGTTAATTGTTTTGCTTTAGAACGCTAGTAAAGTTGATCCGAATCCAAGGGATTTCAGGGCAGGGCCAAAAAGGGAAATAAGACAATATTTTGCTTTAAAAAGTTACTCCTTCATAATTCTTTGGTGGATTTACTCAAATTTGGCAAGAAACATTATCAGAGAGTGGCAGTGATATCAAATATGCATGAAGTGATTTTGAGATTATCCTGACCCAATCTGTTTTTTTTTCGCTTTGGTCCAAAATTCAACATTACTCATCTTGAACAAATAGTCTGAGCTACTTCCATTCCCACCTTTGAGAAAAAGTATTTGCACTGTTTAATTTGTGTAGAAGAAACAGGATATTTTTAGCCTGGTCAAAACTTAGACATGGTATTAACAGTAGCCATTTTGTAACGTGATTGTGCAACCTACCATTAATGAGTCTCTGATAGTTTCAAAATTTGAATTCATCAGATTTCTTAGATAACCAAATTCTTGGTCTGTCTGTCCATTTTCAAAAAGCTGTAAAGGGCCATTGTCCTTTTTTTTTTTTGTATTCATTTAGATATGTGCATTGTGAATTCCCAAAGGGAACAGAATGGTTATTGTAAGGCGCAGAACACTATCTGATAAATTTTATGAGTCTGGACCAGTCAACTTTGGTTACTTCTGCCAAATTAGTCTTCCCCAAACAAATATCCCATGTCTCGTGCATGGTTGGTTTGGAGAAGTTTCATTGTATTTGGTTTATTTCTTCAGCTTTCAGGATATGTTTTTTTTATATCCACATTGTAGTCTACTGATTGATCAATACTAATGATGCCTAATATGGTTAATATATCAACTAACAGCTAGACTAATGGATGGTTGAAAGAAGAACTGGAACAGGAATGTAATGAAGGTGTAGTTGTGATCAGCTCATCCTTTTTAAACAAGTGCAAAGTTTTCTTGTACCAGAAAACTTGAAAGCCAAAAGATAGAGTAAAGTAAATGACACAGGTACATTAATGTTGATAGTACAGTAGTAATTATGTCAGACGTGTCTAGGATATTACATGTTTATAGAATCTACACTTTTATTATGAATGTGTGTATTTGTGAATTTATACTGTGACATTTTTCCTGAGTAGTTCATTGTTTGTACACATGGAGGAGGTAGGCCCGTCTGTGGTGCAGAACATTTGTATTCATTTAGTGGACTATTTGCATTCACATGGCTATTTCAGTATATAGCCCTTCCTTTCTGCACTGATTTGAGTATCGTTACCAGAAAATATTGATACTTAAGCAATAGAATCCACAATAATTATGAGAATGATTTGAAACATTGCTTTATTTCAATAGTGCTGTGAAGAGTGGTGATTACAGATGTACATGGGAGATTGAACCAGCTGCTCCTGAGGGACTATTTCTCACTATTAAAGTTGACAAACTCTCTGATGGTGATACTCTGTTTATATATGAAGGTAAATATGCACAGACACATGGAGTTTTTCTTTTGAAGCTTAAGCTTAAGGACAAATATGCATTGATGACAATATTCCTTTATAATTTTGAAAATAAATACACATTTTTTGTAGGTTTCAAGGTTGTGCATACAATTATGCCTAAATGCAAAAACTATAATTTATATTGAATATAAATACCATACTAATTGAGTTGATTGTTTTATGAGGTACACCAATTTGAAAGATATTGACATATTGATTCTTCTTTGCTAAAGTTCACAATTTCCTTGTAAAGTTCAGGAAGAAATTCTACATATAATTTTGACTTCCAACTAATAGTCAAAATTATTTTTCCATTTTCTGTTCATTTGTGAATATTGTGTTATTAAAACTTTCAGGAACCAGTGATGGAGCATTGTTATTCCCTAGTCCAGGGGATACCCATACTGATTCTTGTTACTTTTGCAACAAAAGTGCAACATTTGCGTTAACATCGTCGGTGTACGTAGAATTCAATGTGTCTTCTGGAGGAAATGAAGGCTTTAACTTAGGATATCTAGCAATAGCTTCTTCCAGTAAGTTTTTGTCCAGATAACTGATTCAGCAATGAAGTCCCACAAAGCATTCATCAGTTTCACTGCTACTCTTTTAATGATCAAGAAATCGCTAATGTTTCATTCATTATAAAAATGGTATTCCGAACACCTGCTGTGATAACATATTAATTACCATGTTTGTTGTTCGTTTACAAGAAATACCATTTATCATTATCTTCATTCATATATGCATATAAGTAAAAGTTGCTTAATACTGCTGCAAAATAGGTACCAATCTGAGGTAGAATTGAGAAAAAGGAATTTCTAAAACAGTGTGGAGAAAATCATCTGACCTATCTATTACAGCTAATACTGCTGCATGTGCCGCCAGTGCTGAATCTCCACATGTTCTGGAGGCAAATGACACACTCCAGTTTTTCACTTACTTCAATAATTCATATCCAGAGTAAGTAAACATTTATCAAACCATTTCTCATTCTGATCATCTCAGTGTTGGCTTACTGTCTATTTTGGTAAGTCATTCAGGTTTGAATGCAATACAGGGTTGTTTTAAGCTTGCCAATGGAATTTCTGTAGAAAACATTGTATGTTTAATTCAACATTCAGGGTAACTGCATTGATCCTCACATGATTCTGATTCATAAATCGGTTTGATATTTCTATTGCTTAAAACAAATCATTTTGACAGCCAAATATTGGGTGGATCCTTTAAATTTTGGTATGACCAATTAAGTTTGAAAAGACTGTCCTTATTAGTTTAGGTTACACCTACAATTTTGCCTGGTTTTCAGCTCTGACTGTTATTGGAACATAAGTGATGGTCATACTGGACGAGGAGTCATTTTGACAGTTGAGTTTGCTTACTTTGGCACTTCTTGTATGGATTATCTGGTGATTACAGGTAAACCTTTTTCATTAACATCTTTTCTACCTGGTCATCATCACCTGAAAATTGTAAGTTTTGTAAATTTATCGTACCATGCTACAAAACTTATTTTACTGTGGGTAAGTTTGTCTGTCTGTATGTTTGTTTTCATGTGATGATGTAACTTTGCCAAAAGTGTACGGATTCCAGACACGTAAAGGGGGGCGGGGACTTTTTGTTACCATTGAAACTAGTTTTAGGGAAACTTGGTCGAATGTTGCTATGGAAGCAAAGTCAATGATTCTGTTTGGTCAAGATAGAGATATAATTTGATTATGCTGAAAACTGATACAGAATGGCTAAATTTGAAGAATGATGACAAAAACAACCCATGTAGAAGTGAAATTTGGATGCCATGGTAAACAGGACATTATTTCTGTAAAGACCGATAGCTCATTCCTTTGACCTATCAAATGTTTCAAGACCCAATATTACGGAAACATAGTAGAGGCTTTTGATTAGTTAAGATTGAGATATTATGCTGAAGATAACTAATAAAATGGTTTTGGGTAATGGTATTTTCAGTAGTACTATTTCCCAAATCATCTGATGTCATTTGGTTGCCATGGTAACCAGGTTACAATACACAAGTTGAGATATTGTCCAATTTTGCTGAAAAATCATGTATAAGGGTTTTAAAAAGCGGTTGTTACAATCTTAATATTTCATATAATGTCTGTTGTCATTTGGTTGCCATGGTAACCAGATCAGTATACAAATGTTTTTGTATTATCAGTAATTTGATTGGTTTCAATGAATCATGGTTTTGGTTGGTTGGTTGATTTGGTTGGTTACATGTTTTCTGGCGACATCTGAAACAGTTACTATGGATAATGTAATGAAGGCTTCAGATTGGTAACAATTAAGACATTATCTGATTATAGTGAAAATTGATATATTAGGATTTGAAGAATGGTAATTACTACAGTAATATTTTCCAAAGTCATTTAGTTGCCATGTTAACCTAATAAGATCTATGGATATACATTAAATTGCAATAAGGGAGAAGTGCGATTTATGTATCCAACTACATATTCTTTTCTTCTTTTGCATATGAAAAAAAAAGTTTGATATGAGTTTTGGCAATTAGCATTCAAAATTTTTATTTCAGGTCAGGAATCTACACAAACGATTGTGTGTTCTGACACACTGAACTTCTCTCCAGTAGTTATAAGAAACAGTTCTTTTCACATTAAATTTAATTCTAGTCAAATAACAAGAGAACATGGTTTTTCAATAAGTTATATCCTTGATGCTCCGTGTAAGGGAGAAGTGACCATGATAAAGGCAGAATTACCTATAACAACGATCACGTCACCTGGATATCCATCCTCTTATCCTGGGTAAGATTATTTTACTGTCTATATGTTACTTGACATATTTGATACATAATGTGTTCAACTGAGCTCTTCTTCAAGGTAATAAAAACTTGAAAACTTGGAAATTGCTTAAATCACTTACATTTTGTGCTGGATTTATATTTGCATTTATACGTGAGTCAATCACGAATTCAAATCCCTGGCTATTATTTGTGTTTAAATACCTCTGAATGGCATCCATGTTGATTCAGTAATTGATATTGGAGTTTTGAAGAGTCCATATTTTAGATAACTCATCATCCATGAATTCAATGTTATTTCTAGATCAGCGTTTGTGAAATCATGTATTCACGAATATGTCTGACAAGGTAAATTAATGAAATAATGTGTTTGCTGAATCTAGGTGATATACAGTATGCCTTCATTGTTGAAGGCATTACTTTAAATCAGTTGATTCCTGTTCATGTTGCTGCATCCTTAGAAAGATGACATTTTTGACAAATCTTGAAGTAAACTAGTAAAACATGTGGGTGTATGTGTTAATGTAGCTGAGATATTTAGTATGCCTGTATTGTACATTTGTATGTGGTGATGACCGTTACTAATTCCTTCAAGTTTATATTAAAGAGCTTGGTTATACATAACGTAGATGTAGAACAATGTATCACCCACAAAACACACCTCTCTATATGTATATGTGTGTTGTAAATTGTACCGAAGACATTGTATAATTCCTAACAGGTGTTTATTTAAACATTGGAATTTTGTTTTTAAGGTGTATGAAGTCTATTCACAAAATGTTTTCAGGAAACTATACATTGCATGTTATATCCCACAACAAGACATAATGGTACTCACATTTACACTTCACGCTTCCTTTTTTCCCTAGGTTTTTATTTGTTTTTAAGCTAGAATCAGCCATAAAATGATGACAAAATGATTGTTGATAAGAAACATTGATTTGATATACTGTTATCCCAGACACATGATAAATGGCACTTACAATCTGATGGGTTAATGTAGTGGTTTCATTAAAACAGATCAGCATACATTTTCTATGTGTTTGTATGATGAGTTTTTTCTAAGTTACAAGCTAACTAGATGCCTATTGTCTTCTTTGGCTAGTGTTGGAAGAAGTGGTGGATATGTTTGTAAATGGCACATTGAAGCTGATACTAACACCACAGGAATTATCATCAAATACTCGTTTGAATCCATTCAACTTGGAGATACCTTGGCTTTGTATGAAGGTAACCAATTATGTTGAGAGTTAGAGTAATATGGCCCTTACAGTTATGGTGGCCTATAACCATTGTGTTTCTTTCATCATGCTTTGTACGTTTGTAAATATTTTTTTAACTTTTTCTCCAAACCCCTACATAAAAACGTTCCTTGGTAAAAGGTGAACCAAAGATGTAAATCATATGGTTCCCACTTTTCAGGACCTAAGGGATGGGGTCAAAAGGGGTGAAAATAAATTAGCTTCCAAAATTTGTTTTTCTCAAGAAGCCGCTTTAATCCCCTTGGGGGCGGGATAAAGTTTATTGTAGTTTCTACAGGAAAGTTACAATGTTTTAATATTTATTGGAAATAATTCAGATTTTGTCAGAATTATTTGTAGAGTGGTGGCAATTAAGAAGAATATGATTTCAAGTTTGCAGAAAATGTCTTGATGAACCAACAATGTCTTCTATGTAAGCTGTAGAGCGATTGGGCAATCTATCTTAGGCCTATTTTGCCTCTTTCATATAAAGGTCTTTAGTCAGATGACTGTTGAGGCCTATGGGCCTTTTGTTTTTCAATTGTTTCTGTTTTGTATTTGACTTCTTACATTGAATGTTGTGAATGATGAAATACATTTTTTATTGTCTGGAATGGAAAGATTACAACACACCAGTGATTCAGTCAATCTAATTGATTAAATCTATTTTATCAGCTCTTTTCAAATTTCATTGAAGGTTGTGATAGCACCGGTGTAGAGAAATACAAGTCAAAGAGTAACAACAGACACACAAGGGAAAGTTCTACTAAAAGTTTCAAAGGTTCAGCCTACGTGGAGTTCAGTGTGACCTCGGCTTCTGGAGATTTGGGTCTAAAGATGCAGATAACATCACAACAAGCAAGTGGTAATGTTTAAAATACTTTTACCCCATCAATGTAATGATAATAATCAAGGATGATCAGATGGCACAATAGTAATACATTCAATATCCTTCACCTAAGTGACTGGAATTTGATTTCTAAATAGGACCTGAAAAGGTATGAGGTCACTTGTTATACAGGTAACCTACTCTGTATAATATGAAACATTTATGGCAATTGTACACCTACCTGTTTATCAATAAACATTAGCGGTTGTTATTAGCTCATGTGGCCTGAAGAGCAAAGTAAAATGCTTCATTTGGTACAGTGAACTCCCTCCCCCCACCCACACTCGAAATTTCCCCACCCCAGAAATATTTTTTGTTATTTGTATGTTAATATAATTGAATTAGGGTGATTAGAAAAAAAAAGTGGTGAAAAAAGGTAAGTAGATAGAAAATAGTGTAAAGCTTCACTTTACTATTGCCCCTTGCCCTACCCTGAATTTCCCCACCCTTGTTAGTTTTTTATTTTCATTTTATTATGTATGCAGGAACATAATTAAGTAAACTGAAGTGTAAAGCAGCTTCACTTTACCATGGTTTCACTTTATCATACTATAGCGGGACCAATTAGGGGAAATGGCGCAAATTCTTTAAAATCCTACTCTTCCTGAAGGAACAGTTGTATTTTTCAAGGCGATTCAATCTTGTGTGGACATTAGGTCTGAGCCCTCTAGGGCAGGAGGGAAAGGACCCAATATGGGTTAATAGAGCAAATCTTTCAAAATCCTACTTCTTCTGTAGGAATGATTCAGAAATTCATTGGCATTACTCTATTCACTTCATTCCTTGAGACATTCACATCAAACTGTACACACTTATACAGGGTGAAAATATCTCCGGCAAATTTGAGTGTCAGGTTTGTTGGTTTGAGGTCAAGGGCACTTGCTACTTTTAGAAAATCAGGGTCAGCACTCTAGTGGCTTCATTTGTTAAGGAATATTCATAAAACTTCCTACGCTTTTAATGCATTCAGAGATCTTGAATAAGTTAGAGTTTCAGGTCTGTTTGGTCAAGATCAGAAATAAGATTAAGAACATTTTTGTCGGCCTTCTTGTGGCTTTGATCCTAAAAGGATTTTGCTTGAAGATCACACACTAAAAATGACCATCAGACATTAATTTTACATTGGTGATGAAATTACATTTCAAATTTGACCCAGAGCGCTGATATTAGATCTTTAAATGACTTTTTCTCAATGATTAAAAGGTTCTGTGTGCTAGGATGAAGGTCTACCAAGTTTGTTTTTATGAATGACCTTGACCCGCTTTTATGGTCACAGGGAATAAATAAGTTATAAATCTTTAAACAACTTCTTCTAAAAATCAAAATGCCAAAAGTGTTGCTATTTGGTCTGCAGCATGCTGGGATGAAAGGCTATTAAATGCATTCATACTATTGACTAGTTGTCATATGTTGAAATGTTTAAAACAACTTCTCCAAAACCACAAAGCCCAGTTTGCTGATATTGGGCATGTAGTATGGATGGATGAAAGACTTCCAAGTCTGTTAAAGTGAATGACCTTAACCTTTTTTCAAGGTCACAGGGGTTAATTAAATGTGTTGAACTGCTTTAACTTCTCAATAACCAAAAGGCAAAGAGTCTTGATATTGGGCGTGTAGTATTCTTTTTCAACAAAAATATGTCCAGAGTAATGGCATTTGTGTAGTGCATGCATAAGGAATATGATTTTAGGTTTGCAGAAAAAAACTCTTTATGAACCAACAATGTCTTTCATGTAAGTTATAGTGTAGTTGAGCAATTTATTTCATGCCTATTCGGCCTTTTCCATATATTGGTCTTTATGGTCAGATGACTGTTAAGGCCAATGGTACTCTTATTACATTAAAATCAGTGAAAAACTATTTGTATACTTTTTATACTCCCCTCAGGGCAGCATATAGTTACCACCTTTTCCATCTTTTCATCTGTCCTTTCATGTCCACAGCATTACTTTGCTCCAAGTTAAGCAAAGATCATGGTGTTTGGTGTATACATTGGTAATACTAAGGGGATATGCAGTGTACTGCCCTTTGTTATAATTTCATATCTGGAGTGTAACTTTGCCCACAATTAAGCAATGATCACAAAATTTGTGTCTATATTGATCATACTAAAACAATGTGCTGTATACCAAATTCAGGGCCCTTGACCTCTTGATTAGAGAGTTATTGCTCTTTCTCAGAGTTATTGTTCAGATCTTGTGTGACGAGCTTAGCTTTGCTTGCATTAAATCTATGAGCATGAAACTTGCTGTATACCAAATTCAGGGCCTGCAACACCTTAATTACAGAATCAAAGTCGTTTTCGGGGAGCAGTCATCAGTTTTACTGATACTCTTGTTTTTTTTTTATGTTAACACCAAACAGTACCATCTGTAAATCATTACCATGTAATAGGTTGGAGGAGCTGGTGGTAGGAAACAAGCTTTTCTTTAGAAATACACAGTATGCTTGATATTACTTATGAATTGAATAGAAAATTAACAAATCATATTTGGTGCAGTGGTCTCTTTCTTTCACAGACAACACAGAAGCATGTGGATCCAATGGCAAAACTGTTGTAGCTACAAAGGAAGTCCAGTATTTTACCAGTAGCAATTTCCCTGAATCATATCAGGTGTAAGTTAGAATGACATTGGATGTTATCATTTGGGAACCTATTGAATATTAATCTGTGATGATTAATTGTCACTGTTGCCGATTTACACTCATTTAAGCTGGTTTGATGCAAAGTCTTTTTGAATCTCTTTACTTATTTAATTAGAGTTACAAGTAGATGGTTAAACATAATTGGTTTGAGGACTTTTTATGTCGGTGTATTTGAACCTGTGATATTTGATATATATTACTTATCATATGATTTGCATTTAACTTGTATAATGACATTATCCTTTCATCTAACCTGTTTTATATATGAAGCTGTATTAATGTTGATTATGTATTAATCATATCTATGAAGAAATCGATGCACTGTCAATTGCATCTTCTGTATTGACAGGAATGAAAACTGCCAGTGGATGATCTCTGCAGGAAATTCTGGAGAAATCGTTATTCTGACGGTTGAGTTCTATGATATAGAAAAGGATTCTACCTGTTCGTATGATTATCTTTTAATTACAGGTAATATTAATACCTACTTGTTGTCATCTCTTAATTTTTGACAAGGACTTCTGTTCCTAAACAATGCAATTCTTTAAGGATTGTTTTTCTGTCCTGAGTCAAAGTGCAGTTTATATCTTGAGACTTTGATGAAAAATTCTATTAATCTTTCAGACCATTGAAAGTTCATAAGTTGGTAAGGATGATTCATTCTTTGTTTGCCTGATGTTGATTTTACCCTGTGTTTTTGAAACAGTGACTTGATGGAAGGGCAAAATAATTCCTCAATTAGAGAATTTATTTCCTCAACTTTTCATTTTAAAAAACTTCTGGAATACTGAACGGCGTAGAGTTATCATATTTGGCTGGAAGGTTCCTTTGATGAAGCTTTACAAAGTTTGTGAAAAGAAAAAAACCTTGACCCATATTCAAGGTCAAAGAGATCAAATGTGTTAAAAACTTTAAGCAACTTATTTCAAAATACCGGGAGGCCTAGAATTATTATATCAGGCTACTATGTTCCTCTTATGGTGTCCTACAAAGTTTGCTAAAAGAAATGACCTTGACCAATCTTCAAGGTCACTGGATTCAAATGTCTTAAAAAGTTAAAACAATTTCTTCTGTAATATCGAAAAGCCTAGAATCATTATATTTGGTCAGTTATTCCTTTTATGAAGTCCAAGAAAGTTTGCAAAAAGAAATGACGTTGATCTATAGTCAAGGTCACAGGGGTCAAATGTTTGAACAACTTCTGCTTAACCAAAAGGCCTAAAATCCTAATATTTGGCCAAAAGGTTCCCTTAATGGTGCCCACATAGGGTGTGAAAAAATAGCTTGACCCATAAAAATATTTAAGGTCACTAGGGTTAAATTTGGTAAAATCATGAACAACATCTGATTGACCAAAGGCTATCATATTTGGCCAGTAAAAGTTTCACAAAGGCTTATATACAAATATGTAGAATCTTCCAATGACTTATTAAATGAATATATTTGGCTGGGAATTTTCTTGGCACAACTTGGAATAAATTATAAAGACCTTTCACAGTGATGTCACACTGTTCCAAAAGATAGATTAGGCCAAGCCCCTGGAGACCTGAGCGGCTTGATCTAAGTAATGTGAAAAACTACGTGTTAGCCAATTACTTATGTTCTATTCACAGTCTTAAAATACAGAAAACATGATCGGACAGAGAATTGCAAGAGCTTCATTTTGATTTAAGATTCTTCATAATTATAGCATAAATAAATAAGAAATTCAAAGTTGATCCCATTTGCTATGCAGTGTTTATAGGCCTACAGTAAACTGTTATCAGTATATCTCCAGTAACCGGGGCTTAACTGACCATGGTGACATCACTAATGATATGCATGAAACATTTTATTATTGGTTTTGAGTTAGAATTATGGTTTATAATTACATGTACCTTAATTTTTCCTGTCTTTATATTTAATTGTTGCTATATATTGTTGACTTGTGCAAGTCTCAAATATGTTGTATCTGTGTTTGTAAACAATGATCTAAAGGGCAAGTAAGCTTCTGCTGTCCTAGGTCATCCGTCCAGCTATAACTAATAATTTTTCTGCTTTACTGCTTGACCATTTTCTTTCCTTGATTTAAAAGAAATCTGTCAATTATATTTAACTGGAAACATCATAAGAAAGTCTCAGTTGAACATTGCACAGATGAGGGGGCTGTCTACTAATGGAGAGAACTCATATGGAGTAATTTGTCATATTGCTTTAAGCATCTACTGTGGAACATATGCACAGGTATATTACTGTTGGTCATTAAGATCCATGTGAGCGATACAGGCCCTCTGGGCCTCTTGTATTTTTAAATGGAATTTGAAGTTGATCAGAGAGTAATTTTGTCAAACTAAAGCACATTCTGAAATACAACTGGTTTTCATAACTGCCAAATACAGCAAAAATAATCAGGAAAAGTGGTTTTAGTGAGAGTTCATTCAAAATTTTGTTGAAATCAACCCCAAACTTTCAGAGTTATACTAGAAAGAAATTCCTCAGCGACAAGTAAACATGGATTTGGTGATAACAAATTCCGTGTGTAGTATAGAGAGTGAAAAAGATTGTAATAATTTATGAGTATATATCCATGGGACACAAAGGTTAATGCAAAAGACAAATTTATCGTTTATGAAAATTAAATATCAGCCGAATGGATGTTGATACTGCTTTTATTCTGTCTCATAAATTTTTCACATTGTAATGATGTTTATTCTGATAGAAAATAAATGGTATTTGAAATCCATTTTGACGTGGAATTAAAAACAAGTATTCTTTCATTTCCTTTTGGGTTTGCATTCTTTGAATAGATGAAATCACAATAATATTAGTTCCGTGCAAGATTGATTAGAACACTCAGTAGAACTTCTATAGAGAATAATATATCTTTTAGTAACAATTATGAGTATTAGTGGAGTTAAAGCCAAAGAGTGTCAAATTAGTCTCAAGAGAAATACACTTTAGCAAAGCATTAAGGTGTGTGATATTGCTACGGGTCCCAGCAGGGGCACAGAGCATTCTATTTAAAAATTTGGTGCCGTGACCAGAACCTGAAGGCACGATTATAACGTAATATACACAATACAATACAGAGCATGGACGAATGAAAGGAAAAATGCCTGTAACAGTATGTGTCAGTGGTATTTTTACATGAAGATTACACTCTACATATAATTTTATTTGGTTTTCTGTTGTATTTGCAATTTTCAAATTTACAATGCCCAAATACCAAAAGATAAGTAAGTAATATTAAATTTGCTTAGTGTGAGACACGGTTACATGTGTACAATTCATCTATATTGTCATTTCAGGTCTGAACACAACTGACGATAAAATTTGTGGAACAGACTTTTCTCATCCACTCCGTACTTATAACGATACGAGTTTCAATGTCAGTTTTAAGAGTGATGGTGCTGATAATAAAAGAGGTTTTGTGTTTAGTGTTGTTCTGGACAAACCATGTACTTCAAATACCCCAACAATGCTGACAGCTGACATCAATGTGAAAAACATTTCCTCTGTGGATTATACATGGTAAGTCTGCGATAGTGACACTTGTATACTGTGGCAGGTACTGAAGTGGAAACTGGTGTACCTACGAAACCTATTCTTAACTTAAATTTGCTTCAGATGTCAATAAAATTTTAGCTATTTTTTGCAGAAGACATTTTTTAACTTGAAAGTATGCTCTGTGACTGACAAAGTCAATATTTCTACTGAATCAAAACATAATACAGTTAATGACTTTATAATTGATGACTGGCCCCTAGTAGTTTGAATAAATGACTTTGTAATTGATGATAGGCTCCTAGTTGTTTAAATAAATGCCTTTGAAAATGATGTCTGGCGTCTGTATAAATAAATGGCTTTGAAATTGATGGCTGGCCCTTTGTTATTGTGTCGCCTGCAGTGCTGGCGGACACTTAGGGATCACTTTGTCCGTCGTCATGCGTCGTCGTCGTTGTCATCGTTGTCGTCCGTACGAAAGATTTCAGGACTTTTTTCGGTAATGCTTTGAGTTATCAAAATGAAATTTGGCATATGGCTTTTTGTTGCAAGGGTACAAATTAAGTCTAATTCCCGGTTGTTTGTGACCCTTTTTGGCAGAGTTATGCCCCTTTCAACTTAGAAATTTCCTGGGAATATTGTTTTCCGAACTTTTTTGGCTTATGCTTTCAGTTATTGAAATGAAATTTGGTATATGGCTTCTTTTTGCAAGGGTTCAGATTAAGTTTGATACCTGGCTGTCTGTGACTCTTCTTGGCTGAGTTATGCCCCTTTGAACCCAAAAAAGTTTTGGGGATATTGTTTTCCAGATATTTCCCAATATATGGCTTCTTGGTGGAAGATTACAGATCAAGTTCAATTCTCAGCTCTCCGTGACTCTTCCTGACCCATTGAACTCAAATTCTTTAGGAATATTGTTTTCTGGAATTTTCTTGGTTATGCTTCGAGTTATGAAAATGCAATTTTGTATATGAGTTCTTGGTCAAAAGTTACGCACCGAGTTCGCTTCAAAGCAGTCTGTAACCCTTCTTGGCAGTGATACGTCCCTTTGAACTTGGAAAATTTCTCAGGAATATTGCTTTGCGCAGTTTTCCCTTTCTGCTTCAAGTTATAGAAATGAAATTTTGTATTACAACTTTATGGTTGATCGTTGCACATCCAGTTCAATTTCTGGGTGACCGTAACACTTTATGCAGGCGACACATACAGTTCCGAGGAACTCTTGTTTGAATAAATGGCTTTGAAATTGATGACTGACCTCTAGTTGTTTGAATAAATGACTTTGTAATTGATGACTGTTGACTAGTTGTTTGAATAAATGACTTTGTAATTGATGACTGACCTCTAGTTGTTTGAATGACTTTGTAATTGATGACTGGCCCTTAGTTGTTTTAATAAATGACTTTGTAATTGCTGACTGGTGCCTAGCTGTTTTAATAAATGGCTTTTTAATTGATGACATTGACCTTGACTGACCCTCAGGGGCTGATGGGTGGGTCAAAATTGGGTCAAATTGACTAAAATTTCAAAGATGTTCTACTGTTCCTGGATGAAAGATTTTATACAGGAAAAATTCAAATTTTTAATGTAATTTCTTTTAATTCAAACTTGATTAGATTAATGAGTACATAATTTGCATTTGCATTATGTGTACAAAGTTAAAGTTATATATTATTTTTAACAAAATAATTTCTATGACATGCTACAAGAAGCATTGTGACTCAGGTGACTTTTAAGGCCCCTGGGCTTCTTGTTATGAGTATTACCTGTTTCACTTTTTTGTATCTATATTGTTTTATATCTGTGTAGGAACAGACAGACGGGTAATTACTCGTGTGAGTGGCACATTGAGGCTAGTGATGGCTCTGCTGGAATTTTGCTATACCTGGATAGTGGCGGACAAAGTAGTGGAACCAATATCAACATATACCAAGGTAATTAACGCATTGACATACCTGTTACATCTTGCTGTCTTATGGTATGTCCAAAATACCTAGAGTCTGTGACAGGAACAGCCTGTCATGATTTCTCCATATGATTATTAAGACATCTGTACAATTGTCATTCTGGTAAATGTTTTTCTTTCTACACTGTTTAGCTGTTTGACTTTAGCATAGTAAGTAGAGTATTAATGTGTGGTAGATTTCTTCTGATCAGATCCACTCCTTATCTCCTAAGATGTACGTATTTATCTACCTACTTATTGTCAATTTTCCTAACTTTTCTTTACTGAAAATTCTCAACTGATCACAAAAAAGTATTTTTAGTAGCATTGCTGAGTTGCTGTGGAGTATGGACATTAACCTGTTAGCTGGTTTTGCACTAAAAATACTCCTTGGACCTCATTCTGCCCATATCATATAGTGACCAGACTGTTAATGTTATTGAGAATAGTTTTAGAGGTTTAATACAGAATGCTAAAATATATTCTGGACTGTAACTGTTTTGTTAAAAATTGAAATATGTACAAACTTTCAAGGTAAACCTAGACACACCACACGTTTTGGTGTCTTTGTTTAGGGGGTCTCGTTAACGACTACTGATGTACCTGATCTTGGGCATTCCTTGGTACATGTCAAAATCGTGAATTCCATATCAACATGAAATTTCTTTAGAATGCTCACATTTCAGTTGGACTGTGGACTCGCTACCTCCAATCAACACCCCATAACTTGGTGATACTGATTGCTACTGCTAGTGGGTGAAAGGGATCAATTTTATATTAACAGTGTGTGCCGGTCCCATGGAGTGGGAGGGGTGGTGCCAAATAGTGGAAATTGAGCAATTAAAAAAAATGTTCTTATGTTGAAACTGAAGACATCCTTGGTTAAGAAAACATAGGTTATTTTACAATCAATGCATCTAATCCTTATTGGGAGGAGGGACAAACCAATTTACAGGGAAATAGATACGGATGTTTTAAATGTAGATATCAAAATGTCTTTGGATAATATTTAGGTTAGTATGATCACAATGTGATGTGAGCATACTTCAAACATAGAATGTTATGTGTCAGTGTTATGGAAGCAATTAACAAGAATGGAAATACATTTCATGTATTGAAAATTATCGGGTCAATTATTTTTCTTTCTGATGAATATATGAAGACAAATGAATAATATGTATTCCACTAGAATCTCTCGTGGCCGCAGCAATGTTTTCTCATTACTTAGTTCTAACATTGTAAACAGATATTTGATTAGCCCAAAAATATCATTGATAAGCTAAAAGTTAACTTAATGTAACAGGATGTGACAAAACTGGAACCAGACTCTACCCCACATCTGATGTAGATCTGACAATGGGTTCCTCACCAGAACAGTTAGAAATTGCAGCTGGAAACTCAACCTTCATTGAATATTCTGTTGGATCACCAGGAAGTCAAGGATTCAAGATACAATATCTTTCAATAGCCGCTAGTGGTAGGTAACAGATACAATACTTGTCAGTAGCCGCTAGTGGTAGGTAACAGATACAGTATTTCTCAGTAGTGGTAACAGATACAGTATTTCTCAGTAGTGGTAACAGATACAGTATTTCAGTAGTGGCTAATGGTAGGTAACATGTACAGTATTTCTCAGTAGTGGTAACAGATACAGTATTTCTCAGTAGTGGCTAATGGTAGGTAACATGTACAGTATTTCTCAGTAATGGCTAGTGGTAGGTAACAGAGACAGTACTTCCCATTAGTGGCTAGTGGTAGGTAACAAAGACAGTACATCTCAGTAGTGGCTAGTGGTAGGTAACAGTATTTCTCAGTAGTGGCTAGTGGTAGGTAACATATACAGTATTTCTCAGTAGTGGCTAGTGGTAGGTAACAGATACAGTATTTCTCAGTAGTGGCTAGTGGTAGGTAACAGATACAGTATTTCTCAGTAATTGGTAGTGATAGGTAACAGATACAGCTGTCACTGGTATATCAAAACATTGTATATATGTCAGTAGAAGATTAATTAAATTGGACTGTATCATACAGCTGTTTTGCCCTTCTAGGACTCATTAGAGATATGTTAAAGTCTTACTGTGTAAAACCTAAGGGGTAACTGGGAAAACTCTGAAATGGCAAAAAGTAAATGCCAAAATCTAGATTCTTTTTTAATTGACAACATTAACTCAAAATTACAACTTTGAATTTTTCTTAGGTTCAACAAGGTGCAAGGAATGTACCAATTTTTTGTATGTTCACTATTTTCAGATAATACTGCTGTGTGTGCATCAGCTGTATCATCCCCAGTCACGTTGGATGCAAATGATGCCCTCCAGTTCCTGACAAGTTCTAATTTCCCAAATGCATATCCATCGTAAGTTGTTGTTTTCTCTGAAGGATCTCTTTCAAATACTTCAGAAAAATGATTTATTTATCAAAGTTTCTTTTACATTGGTAATATATATTTTCTAGCAAAAATTACATGCTTGAACAACCCATTTAATGTATGTTTGAACTCATTAAGACTGTTTTTGTTTGTTTTTAGTCATCACATTGTCTATTTTGCTTAATTGTTGATAATGGAACAACATGCTTTCACTACTCACAGATCACTACAGTGTTACTGGAACATAACAGATGGTGATACGGGCAGAGGTGTGATTTTGACTGTAGAGTTTAATCACTTTGCTGATTCCTGTGAAGATTATATCATGATCAGCGGAGGTAAATACATGAAATCTGTGATGAGAGGAAACATACATGTTAACATAATTGAAATTTTGATTTGCTTCAGTCACCTTCTACTTTTCAACCATTGAAACCTTAGCTTGATGATATAGATAGAATATTGATCTATTTTACAATAATTCAGAAACAAGTTATTTCATCTTTTAGTTAAGACACTTCTATTTTCTCCAATGCATTTTACAATTACAAAAATTATTTCAACCTGTACCTAAGTCACTCCTGGAAGCCCTTAAGAAGTACCACACTCTGCATCATTGATGAGTCGCTGAGGCAGTTTAATTCATTATTTGGCTCTACTTCTAAAATCGCATCAAATATCTCCTGTGCGTTTGTACAATCATTAAAAATTTTTTGATTGAACAAATTTTACAATTGTACAAAAATTTGCTGTGAATTTTCTTGCTCCTCGTAAAACAAATTTTTTGTTTTTTGTTTTTTGAGCACTAAAATATTACTTTCACCACAAAAATCACTTTTCAATGTAGATTTAGGGTTAGAAAATTAGAAAAGAAACCATTATAAAAGAGTGTTTCCAGGTCAACGTCAAGTAACATATAGACAGTAAAAATAATCTCTCCTTACCCAGGATTAGAGGATGTTTACATGAAGATGTCCCAGACTACTTATCTAACAATGTCTCATTAGTTAGAAATAGTCACAATACAACCACAAGATATGCCTGTGATAACAACTTTTTAGTTCCAAAACACAGAACTGTCTTTTACTCAAACCATTTTTTAATATCGAGTATCAAAGATTGGAATCTTTCACCTCACGAACTTAAGGGGATAAATTGTTTTACTACTTTTAAAAGACTACTAGTCAAACTTTTACTTGATTTGTAGACAATTTTGCAAGATTCTGCTACTTTTTACTTTTTAGAGCAACCAAGTCTTTTATTTGTACACTGTATACTTTTCAATAATGTATGTAATCATGTAATTTTTATCCAACAGATGAAGTATATTGTTTACTCATACATGTTGTCTTTACTAACCCATTGATATGTACTTTTACTAACAAGAGGACCATGTGTTAGATAAACCTTTGGCTTAACATGTATTTATCCTCTGAAAATAAAGATTATTTTTATTATTATTATAACGTCATTTCCTAAAGGTTCTTTATCTATTTACAGTGTTTTCAATTTCTTTGTTTGTTCATGAAAGTAACATTCTTCTGAGGAGAATGCAGTAGTTAAGTTTTCACCAAGCAGCCTATCTAGACAAAAGTTGTTGTTTCAGGTCTTGATGCATCAGGCACAAAAGTGTGTAGCAACACTTTCGATACTTCACCGATGGTTTTTAAAAACAGTTCTTTCCAATTGAAGTTTAACTCAGATGCCTTTAATAATGCCAGTGGATTTGTGATCAGTTATATCCTTGATGCTCCGTGTAAGGGAGAAGTGACCATGATAAAGGCAGAATTACCTATAACAACGATCACGTCACCTGGATATCCATCCTCTTATCCTGGGTAAGGAGAGATTATTTTTACTGTCTATATGTTACTTGACATATTTGATACATAATGTGTTCAACTGAGCTCTTCTTCAAGGTAATAAAAACTTGAAAACTTGGAAATTGCTTAAATCACTTACATTTTGTGCTGGATTTATATTTGCATTTATACGTGAGTCAATCACGAATTCAAATCCCTGGCTATTATTTGTATTTAAATACCTCTGAATGGCATCCATATTGATTCAGTAATTGATATTGGAGTTTTGAAGAGTCCATATTTTAGATAACTCATCATTCATGAATTCAATGTTATTTCTAGATCAGCGTTTGTGAAATCACGTATTCACGAATATGTCTGACAAGGTAAATTAATGAAATAATGTGTTTGCTGAATCTAGGTGATATACAGTATGCCTTCATTGTTGAAGGCATTACTTTAAATCAGTTGATTCCTGTTCATGTTGCTGCAGCCTTAGAAAGATGACATTTTTGACAAATCTTGAAGTAAACTAGTAAAACATGTGGGTGTATGTGTTAATGTAGCTGAGATATTTAGTATGCCTGTATTGTACATTTGTATGTGGTGATGACCGTTACTAATTCCTTCAAGTTTATATCAAAGAGCTTGGTTATACATAACGTAGATGTAGAACAATGTATCACCCACAAAACACACCTCTCTATATGTATATGTGTGTTGTAAATTGTACCGAAGACATTGTATAATTCCTAACAGGTGTTTATTTAAACATTGGAATTTTGTTTTTAAGGTGTATGAAGTCTATTCACAAAATGTTTTCAGGAAACTATACATTGCATGTTATATCCCACAACAAGACATAATGGTACTCACATTTACACTTCACGCTTTCTTTTTTCCCTAGGTTTTTATTTGTTTTTAAGCTAGAATCAGCCATAAAATGATGACAAAATGATTGTTGATAAGAAACATTGATTTGATATACTGTTATCCCAGACACATGATAAATGGCACTTACAATCTGATGGGTTAATGTAGTGGTTTCATTAAAACAGATCAGCATACATTTTCTATGTGTTTGTATGATGAGTTTTTTCTAAGTTACAAGCTAACTAGATGCCTATTGTCTTCTTTGGCTAGTGTTGGAAGAAGTGGTGGATATGTTTGTAAATGGCACATTGAAGCTGATACTAACACCACAGGAATTATCATCAAATACTCGTTTGAATCCATTCAACTTGGAGATACCTTGGCTTTGTATGAAGGTAACCAATTATGTTGAGAGTTAGAGTAATATGGCCCTTACAGTTATGGTGGCCTATAACCATTGTGTTTCTTTCATCATGCTTTGTACGTTTGTAAATATTTTTTAACTTTTTCTCCAAACCCCTACATAAAAACGTTCCTTGGTAAAAGGTGAACCAAAGATGTAAATCATATGGTTCCCACTTTTCAGGACCTAAGGGATGGGGTCAAAAGGGGTGAAAATAAATTAGCTTCCAAAATTTGTTTTTCTCAAGAAGCCGCTTTAATCCCCTTGGGGGCGGGATAAAGTTTATTGTAGTTTCTACAGGAAAGTTACAATGTTTTAATATTTATTGGAAATAATTCAGATTTTGTCAGAATTATTTGTAGAGTGGTGGCAATTAAGAAGAATATGATTTCAAGTTTGCAGAAAATGTCTTGATGAACCAACAATGTCTTCTATGTAAGCTGTAGAGCGATTGGGCAATCTATCTTAGGCCTATTTTGCCTCTTTCATATAAAGGTCTTTAGTCAGATGACTGTTGAGGCCTATGGGCCTTTTGTTTTTCAATTGTTTCTGTTTTGTATTTGACTTCTTACATTGAATGTTGTGAATGATGAAATACATTTTTTATTGTGTGGTGATTCAGTCAATCTAATTGATTAAATCTATTTTATCAGCTCTTTTCAAATTTCATTGAAGGTTGTGATAGCACCGGTGTAGAGAAATACAAGTCAAAGAGTAACAACAGACACACAAGGGAAAGTTCTACTACAAGTTTCAAAGGTTCAGCCTACGTGGAGTTCAGTGTGACCTCGGCTTCTGGAGATTTGGGTCTAAAGATGCAGATAACATCACAACAAGCAAGTGGTAATGTTTAAAATACTTTTACCCCATCAATGTAATGATAATAATCAAGGATGATCAGATGGCACAATAGTAATACATTCAATATCCTTCACCTAAGTGACTGGAATTTGATTTCTAAATAGGACCTGAAAAGGTATGAGGTCACTTGTTATACAGGTAACCTACTCTGTATAATATGAAACATTTATGGCAATTGTACACCTACCTGTTTATCAATAAACATTAGCGGTTGTTATTAGCTCATGTGGCCTGAAGAGCAAAGTAAAATGCTTCATTTGGTACAGTGAACTCCCTCCCCCCACCCACACTCGAAATTTCCCCACCCCAGAAATATTTTTTGTTATTTGTATGTTAATATAATTGAATTAGGGTGATTAGAAAAAAAAAGTGGTGAAAAAAGGTAAGTAGATAGAAAATAGTGTAAAGCTTCACTTTACTATTGCCCCTTGCCCTACCCTGAATTTCCCCACCCTTGTTAGTTTTTTTTTTCATTTTATTATGTATGCAGGAACATAATTAAGTAAACTGAAGTGTAAAGCAGCTTCACTTTACCATGGTTTCACTTTATCATACTATAGCGGGACCAATTAGGGGAAATGGCGCAAATTCTTTAAAATCCTACTCTTCCTGAAGGAACAGTTGTATTTTTCAAGGCGATTCAATCTTGTGTGGACATTAGGTCTGAGCCCTCTAGGGCAGGAGGGAAAGGACCCAATATGGGTTAATAGAGCAAATCTTTCAAAATCCTACTTCTTCTGTAGGAATGATTCAGAAATTCATTGGCATTACTCTATTCACTTCATTCCTTGACATTCACATCAAACTGTACACACTTATACAGGGTGAAAATATCTCCGGCAAATTTGAGTGTCAGGTTTGTTGGTTTGAGGTCAAGGGCACTTGCTACTTTTAGAAAATCAGGGTCAGCACTCTAGTGGCTTCATTTGTTAAGGAATATTCATAAAACTTCCTACGCTTTTAATGCATTCAGAGATCTTGAATAAGTTAGAGTTTCAGGTCTGTTTGGTCAAGATCAGAAATAAGATTAAGAACATTTTTGTCGGCCTTCTTGTTGCTTTGATCCTAAAAGGATTTTGCTTGAAGATCACACACTAAAAATGACCATCAGACATTAATTTTACATTGGTGATGAAACTCCCGCCTAAAATTACATTTCAAATTTGACCCAGAGCGCTGATATTAGATCTTTAAATGACTTTTTCTCAATGATTAAAAGGTTCTGTGTGCTAGGATGAAGGTCTACCAAGTTTGTGTATATGAATGACCTTGACCCGCTTTTATGGTCACAGGGAATAAATAAGTTATAAATCTTTAAACAACTTCTTCTAAAAATCAAAATGCCAAAAGTGTTGCTATTTGGTCTGCAGCATGCTGGGATGAAAGGCTATTAAATGCATTCATACTATTGACTAGTTGTCATATGTTGAAATGTTTAAAACAACTTCTCCAAAACCACAAAGCCCAGTTTGCTGATATTGGGCATGTAGTATGGATGGATGAAAGACTTCCAAGTCTGTTAAAGTGAATGACCTTAACCTTTTTTCAAGGTCACAGGGGTTAATTAAATGTGTTGAACTGCTTTAACTTCTCAATAACCAAAAGGCAAAGAGTCTTGATATTGGGCGTGTAGTATTCTTTTTCAACAAAAATATGTCCAGAGTAATGGCATTTGTGTAGTGCATGCATAAGGAATATGATTTTAGGTTTGCAGAAAAAAACTCTTTATGAACCAACAATGTCTTTCATGTAAGTTATAGTGTAGTTGAGCAATTTATTTCATGCCTATTTGGCCTTTTTCATATATTGGTCTTTATGGTCAGATGACTGTTAAGGCCAATGGTACTCTTATTACATTAAAATCAGTGAAAAACTATTTGTATACTTTTTATACTCCCCTCAGGGCAGCATATAGTTACCACCTTTTCCATCTTTTCATCTGTCCTTTCATGTCCACAGCATTACTTTGCTCCAAGTTAAGCAAAGATCATGGTGTTTGGTGTATACATTGGTAATACTAAGGGGATATGCAGTGTACTGCCCTTTGTTATAATTTCATATCTGGAGTGTAACTTTGCCCACAATTAAGCAATGATCACAAAATTTGTGTCTATATTGATCATACTAAAACAATGTGCTGTATACCAAATTCAGGGCCCTTGACCTCTTGATTAGAGAGTTATTGCTCTTTCTCAGAGTTATTGTTCAGATCTTGTGTGACGAGCTTAGCTTTGCTTGCATTAAATCTATGAGCATGAAACTTGCTGTATACCAAATTCAGGGCCTGCAACACCTTAATTACAGAATCAAAGTCGTTTTCGGGGAGCAGTCATCAGTTTTACTGATACTCTTGTTTTTTTTTTATGTTAACACCAAACAGTACCATCTGTAAATCATTACCATGTAATAGGTTGGAGGAGCTGGTGGTAGGAAACAAGCTTTTCTTTAGAAATACACAGTATGCTTGATATTACTTATGAATTGAATAGAAAATTAACAAATCATATTTGGTGCAGTGGTCTCTTTCTTTCACAGACAACACAGAAGCATGTGGATCCAATGGCAAAACTGTTGTAGCTACAAAGGAAGTCCAGTATTTTACCAGTAGCAATTTCCCTGAATCATATCAGGTGTAAGTTAGAATGACATTGGATGTTATCATTTGGGAACCTATTGAATATTAATCTGTGATGATTAATTGTCACTGTTGCCGATTTACACTCATTTAAGCTGGTTTGATGCAAAGTCTTTTTGAATCTCTTTACTTATTTAATTAGAGTTACAAGTAGATGGTTAAACATAATTGGTTTGAGGACTTTTTATGTCGGTGTATTTGAACCTGTGATATTTGATATATATTACTTATCATATGATTTGCATTTAACTTGTATAATGACATTATCCTTTCATCTAACCTGTTTTATATATGAAGCTGTATTAATGTTGATTATGTATTAATCATATCTATGAAGAAATCGATGCACTGTCAATTGCATCTTCTGTATTGACAGGAATGAAAACTGCCAGTGGATGATCTCTGCAGGAAATTCTGGAGAAATCGTTATTCTGACGGTTGAGTTCTATGATATAGAAAAGGATTCTACCTGTTCGTATGATTATCTTTTAATTACAGGTAATATTAATACCTACTTGTTGTCATCTCTTAATTTTTGACAAGGACTTCTGTTCCTAAACAATGCAATTCTTTAAGGATTGTTTTTCTGTCCTGAGTCAAAGTGCAGTTTATATCTTGAGACTTTGATGAAAAATTCTATTAATCTTTCAGACCATTGAAAGTTCATAAGTTGGTAAGGATGATTCATTCTTTGTTTGCCTGATGTTGATTTTACCCTGTGCCTGTTGATGGAAGTCAAAATAATTCCTCAATTAGAGAATTTATTTCCTCACTTTTCATTTTAAAAAACTTCTGGAATACTGAACGGCGTAGAGTTATCATATTTGGCTGGAAGGTTCCTTTGATGAAGCTTTACAAAGTTTGTGAAAAGAAAAAAACCTTGACCCATATTCAAGGTCAAAGAGATCAAATGTGTTAAAAACTTTAAGCAACTTATTTCAAAATACCGGGAGGCCTAGAATTATTATATCAGGCTAATATGTTCCTCTTATGGTGTCCTACAAAGTTTGCTAAAAGAAATGACCTTGACCAATCTTCAAGGTCACTGGATTCAAATGTCTTAAAAAGTTAAAACAATTTCTTCTGTAATATCGAAAAGCCTAGAATCATTATATTTGGTCAGTTATTCCTTTTATGAAGTCCAAGAAAGTTTGCAAAAAGAAATGACGTTGATCTATAGTCAAGGTCACAGGGGTCAAATGTTTGAACAACTTCTGCTTAACCAAAAGGCCTAAAATCCTAATATTTGGCCAAAAGGTTCCCTTAATGGTGCCCACATAGGGTGTGAAAAAATAGCTTGACCCATAAAAATATTTAAGGTCACTAGGGTTAAATTTGGTAAAATCATGAACAACATCTGATTGACCAAAGGCTATCATATTTGGCCAGTAAAAGTTTCACAAAGGCTTATATACAAATATGTAGAATCTTCCAATGACTTATTAAATGAATATATTTGGCTGGGAATTTTCTTGGCACAACTTGGAATAAATTATAAAGACCTTTCACAGTGATGTCACACTGTTCCAAAAGATAGATTAGGCCAAGCCCCTGGAGACCTGAGCGGCTTGATCTAAGTAATGTGAAAAACTACGTGTTAGCCAATTACTTATGTTCTATTCACAGTCTTAAAATACAGAAAACATGATCGGACAGAGAATTGCAAGAGCTTCATTTTGATTTAAGATTCTTCATAATTATAGCATAAATAAATAAGAAATTCAAAGTTGATCCCATTTGCTATGCAGTGTTTATAGGCCTACAGTAAACTGTTATCAGTATATCTCCAGTAACCGGGGCTTAACTGACCATGGTGACATCACTAATGATATGCATGGAACATTTTATTATTGGTTTTGAGTTAGACCCCAAACTTTCAGAGTTATACTAGAAAGAAATTCCTCAGCGACAAGTAAACATGGATTTGGTGATAACAAATTCCGTGTGTAGTATAGAGAGTGAAAAAGATTGAAATAATTTATGAGTATATATCCATGGGACACAAAGGTTAATGCAAAAGACAAATTTATCGTTTATGAAAATTAAATATCAGCCGAATGGATGTTGATACTGCTTTTATTCTGTCTCATAAATTTTTCACATTGTAATGATGTTTATTCTGATAGAAAATAAATGGTATTTGAAATCCATTTTGACGTGGAATTAAAAACAAGTATTCTTTCATTTCCTTTTGGGATTGCATTCTTTGAATAGATGAAATCACAATAATATTAGTTCCGTGCAAGATTGATTAGAACACTCAGTAGAACTTCTATAGAGAATAATATATCTTTTAGTAACAATTATGAGTATTAGTGGAGTTAAAGCCAAAGAGTGTCAAATTAGTCTCAAGAGAAATACACTTTAGCAAAGCATTAAGGTGTGTGATAGTATCTACGGGTCCCAGCAGGGGCACAGAGCATTCTATTTAAAAATTTGGTGCCGTGACCAGAACCTGAAGGCACGATTATAACGTAATATACACAATACAATACAGAGCATGGACGAATGAAAGGAAAAATGCCTGTAACAGTATGTGTCAGTGGTATTTTTACATGAAGATTACACTCTACATATAATTTTATTTGGTTTTCTGTTGTATTTGCAATTTTCAAATTTACAATGCCCAAATACCAAAAGATAAGTAAGTAATATTAAATTTGCTTAGTGTGAGACACGGTTACATGTGTACAATTCATCTATATTGTCATTTCAGGTCTGAACACAACTGACGATAAAATTTGTGGAACAGACTTTTCTCATCCACTCCGTACTTATAACGATACGAGTTTCAATGTCAGTTTTAAGAGTGATGGTGCTGATAATAAAAGAGGTTTTGTGTTTAGTGTTGTTCTGGACAAACCATGTACTTCAAATACCCCAACAATGCTGACAGCTGACATCAATGTGAAAAACATTTCCTCTGTGGATTATACATGGTAAGTCTGCGATAGTGACACTTGTATACTGTGGCAGGTACTGAAGTGGAAACTGGTGTACCTACGAAACCTATTCTTAACTTAAATTTGCTTCAGATGTCAATAAAATTTTAGCTATTTTTTGCAGAAGACATTTTTTAACTTGAAAGTATGCTCTGTGACTGACAAAGTCAATATTTCTACTGAATCAAAACATAATACAGTTAATGACTTTATAATTGATGACTGGCCCCTAGTAGTTTGAATAAATGACTTTGTAATTGATGATAGGCTCCTAGTTGTTTAAATAAATGCCTTTGAAAATGATGTCTGGCGTCTGTATAAATAAATGGCTTTGAAATTGATGGCTGGCCCTTTGTTATTGTGTCGCCTGCAGTGCTGGCGGACACTTAGGGATCACTTTGTCCGTCGTCATGCGTCGTCGTCGTTGTCATCGTTGTCGTCCGTACGAAAGATTTCAGGACTTTTTTCGGTAATGCTTTGAGTTATCAAAATGAAATTTGGCATATGGCTTTTTGTTGCAAGGGTACAAATTAAGTCTAATTCCCGGTTGTTTGTGACCCTTTTTGGCAGAGTTATGCCCCTTTCAACTTAGAAATTTCCTGGGAATATTGTTTTCCGAACTTTTTTGGCTTATGCTTTCAGTTATTGAAATGAAATTTGGTATATGGCTTCTTTTTGCAAGGGTTCAGATTAAGTTTGATACCTGGCTGTCTGTGACTCTTCTTGGCTGAGTTATGCCCCTTTGAACCCAAAAAAGTTTTGGGGATATTGTTTTCCAGATATTTCCCAATATATGGCTTCTTGGTGGAAGATTACAGATCAAGTTCAATTCTCAGCTCTCCGTGACTCTTCCTGACCCATTGAACTCAAATTCTTTAGGAATATTGTTTTCTGGAATTTTCTTGGTTATGCTTCGAGTTATGAAAATGCAATTTTGTATATGAGTTCTTGGTCAAAAGTTACGCACCGAGTTCGCTTCAAAGCAGTCTGTAACCCTTCTTGGCAGTGATACGTCCCTTTGAACTTGGAAAATTTCTCAGGAATATTGCTTTGCGCAGTTTTCCCTTTCTGCTTCAAGTTATAGAAATGAAATTTTGTATTACAACTTTATGGTTGATCGTTGCACATCCAGTTCAATTTCTGGGTGACCGTAACACTTTATGCAGGCGACACATACAGTTCCGAGGAACTCTTGTTTGAATAAATGGCTTTGAAATTGATGACTGACCTCTAGTTGTTTGAATAAATGACTTTGTAATTGATGACTGTTGACTAGTTGTTTGAATAAATGACTTTGTAATTGATGACTGACCTCTAGTTGTTTGAATGACTTTGTAATTGATGACTGGTCCTTAGTTGTTTTAATAAATGACTTTGTAATTGCTGACTGGTACCTAGCTGGTTTAATAAATGGCTTTTAATTGATGACAATGACCTTGACTGACCCTCAGGGGCTGATGGGTGGGGTCAAAATTGGGTCAAATTGACTAAAATTTCAAAGATGTTCTACTGTTCCTGGATGAAAGATTTTATACAGGAAAAATTCAAATTTTTAGTGTAATTTCTTTTAATTCAAACTTGATTAGATTAATGAGTACATAATTTGCATTTGCATTATGTGTACAAAGTTAAAGTTATATATTATTTTTAACAAAATAATTTCTATGACATGCTACAAGAAGCATTGTGACTCAGGTGACTTTTAAGGCCCCTGGGCTTCTTGTTATGAGTATTACCTGTTTCACTTTTTTGTATCTATATTGTTTTATATCTGTGTAGGAACAGACAGACGGGTAATTACTCGTGTGAGTGGCATATTGAGGCTAGTGATGGCTCTGCTGGAATTTTGCTATACCTGGATAGTGGCGGACAAAGTAGTGGAACCAATATCAACATATACCAAGGTAATTAACACATTGACATACCTGTTACATCTTGCTGTCTTATGGTATGTCCAAAATACCTAGAGTCTGTGACAGGAACAGCCTGTCATGATTTCTCCATATGATTATTAAGGCATCTGTACAATTGTCATTCTGGTAAATGTTTTTCTTTCTACACTGTAAAGCTGTTTGTCTTTAGCATAGTAAGTAGAGTATTAATGTGTGGTAGATTTCTTCTGATCAGATCCACTCCTTATCTCCTAAGATGTACGTATTTATCTACCTACTTATTGTCAATTTTCCTAACTTTTCTTTACTGAAAATTCTAAACTGATCACAAAAAAGTATTTTTAGTAGCATTTTTGAGTTGATGTGGAGTATGGACATTAACCTGTTAGCTGGTTTTGCGCTAAAAATACTCCTTGGACCTCATTCTGCCCATATCATATAGTGACCAGACTGTTAATGTTATTGAGAATAGTTTTAGAGGTTTAATACAAAATGCTAAAATATATTCTGGAATGTAACTGTTTTGTTAAAAATTGAAATATGTACAAACTTTCAAGGTAAACACCTAGACACACCACACGTTTTGGTGTCTTTGTCTAGGGGGTCTCGTTAACGACTACTGATGTACCTGATCTTGGGCATTCCTTGGTACATGCCAAAATCGTGAATTCCATATCAACATGAAATTTCTTTAGAATGCTCACATTTCAGTTGGACTGTGGACTCGCTACCTCCAATCAACCCCCATAACTTGGTGATACTGATTGCTACTGCTAGTGGGTGAAAGGGATCAATTTTATATTAACAGTGTGTGCCGGTCCCATGGAGTGGGAGGGGTGGTGCCAAATAGTGGAAATTGAGCAATTAAAAAAAAATGTTCTTATGTTGAAACTGAAGACATCCTTGGTTAAGAAAACATAGGTTATTTTAAAATCAATGCATCTAATCCTTATTGGGAGGAGGGACAAACCAATTTACAGGGAAATAGATACGGATGTTTTAAATGTAGATATCAAAATGTCTTTGGATAATATTTAGGTTAGTATGATCACAATGTGATGTGAGCATACTTCAAACATAGAATGTTATGTGTCAGTGTTATGGAAGCAATTAACAAGAATGGAAATACATTTCATGTATTGAAAATTATCGGGTCAATTATTTTTCTTTCTGATGAATATATGAAGACAAATGAATAATATGTATTCCACTAGAATCTCTCGTGTTCGCAGCAATGTTTTCTCATTACTTAGTTCTAACATTGTAAACAGATATTTGATTAGCCCAAAAATATCATTGATAAGCTAAAAGTTAACTTAATGTAACAGGATGTGACAAAACTGGAACCAGACTCTACCCCACATCTGATGTAGATCTGACAATGGGTTCCTCACCAGAACAGTTAGAAATTGCAGCTGGAAACTCAACCTTCATTGAATATTCTGTTGGATCACCAGGAAGTCAAGGATTCCAGATACAATATCTTTCAATAGCCGCTAGTGGTAGGTAACAAATACAATACTTGTCAGTAGCCGCTAGTGGTAGGTAACAGATACAGTATTTCTCAGTAGTGGTAACAGATACAGTATTTCTCAGTAGTGGCTAATGGTAGGTAACATGTACAGTATTTCTCAGTAGTGGTAACAGATACAGTATTTCTCAGTAGTGGCTAATGGTAGGTAACATGTACAGTATTTCTCAGTAATGGCTAGTGGTAGGTAACAGAGACAGTACTTCCCATTAGTGGCTAGTGGTAGGTAACAAAGACAGTACATCTCAGTAGTGGCTAGTGGTAGGTAACAATTTCTCAGTAGTGGCTAGTGGTAGGTAACATATACAGTATTTCTCAGTAGTGGCTAGTGGTAGGTAACAGATACAGTATTTCTCAGTAGTGGCTAGTGGTAGGTAACAGATACAGTATTTCTCAGTAATTGGTAGTGATAGGTAACAGATACAGCTGTCACTGGTATATCAAAACATTGTATATATGTCAGTAGAAGATTAATTAAATTGGACTGTATCATACAGCTGTTTTGCCCTTCTAGGACTCATTAGAGAGATGTTAAGGTCTTACTGTGTAAAACCTAAGGGGTAACTGGGAAAACTCTGAAATGGCAAAAAGTAAATGCCAAAATCTAGATTCTATTTTAATTGACAACATTAACTCAAAATTACAACTTTGAATTTTTCTTAGGTTCAACAAGGTGCAAGGAATGTACCAATTTTTTGTATGTTCACTATTTTCAGATAATACTGCTGTGTGTGCATCAGCTGTATCATCCCCAGTCACGTTGGATGCAAATGATGCCCTCCAGTTCCTGACAAGTTCTAATTTCCCAAATGCATATCCATCGTAAGTTGTTGTTTTCTCTGAAGGATCTCTTTCAAATACTTCAGAAAAATGATTTATTTATCAAAGTTTCTTTTACATTGGTAATATATATTTTCTAGCAAAAATTACATGCTTGAACAACCCATTTAATGTATGTTTGAACTCATTAAGACTGTTTTTGTTTGTTTTTAGTCATCACATTGTCTATTTTGCTTAATTGTTGATAATGGAACAACATGCTTTCACTACTCACAGATCACTACAGTGTTACTGGAACATAACAGATGGTGATACGGGCAGAGGTGTGATTTTGACTGTAGAGTTTAATCACTTTGCTGATTCCTGTGAAGATTATATCATGATCAGCGGAGGTAAATACATGAAATCTGTGATGAGAGGAAACATACATGTTAACATAATTGAAATTTTGATTTGCTTCAGTCACCTTCTACTTTTCAACCATTGAAACCTTAGCTTGATGATATAGATAGAATATTGATCTATTTTACAATAATTCAGAAACAAGTTATTTCATCTTTTAGTTAAGACACTTCTATTTTCTCCAATGCATTTTACAATTACAAAAATTATTTCAACCTGTACCTAAGTCACTCCTGGAAGCCCTTAAGAAGTACCACACTCTGCATCATTGATGAGTCGCTGAGGCAGTTTAATTCATTATTTGGCTCTACTTCTAAAATCGCATCAAATATCTCCTGTGCGTTTGTACAATCATTAAAAATTTTTTGATTGAACAAATTTTACAATTGTACAAAAATTTGCTGTGAATTTTCTTGCTCCTCGTGAAACAAATTTTTTGTTTTTTGGTTTTTGAGCACTAAAATATTACTTTCACCACAAAAATCACTTTTCAATGTAGATTTAGGGTTAGAAAATTAGAAAAGAAACCATTATAAAAGAGTGTTTCCAGGTCAACGTCAAGTAACATATAGACAGTAAAAATAATCTCTCCTTACCCAGGATTAGAGGATGTTTACATGAAGATGTCCCAGACTACTTATCTAGCAATGTCTCATTAGTTAGAAATAGTCACAATACAACCACAAGATATGCCTGTGATAACAACTTTTTAGTTCCAAAACACAGAACTGTCTTTTACTCAAACCATTTTTTAATATCGAGTATCAAAGATTGGAATCTTTCACCTCACGAACTTAAGGGGATAAATTGTTTTACTACTTTTAAAAGACTACTAGTCAAACTTTTACTTGATTTGTAGACAATTTTGAAAGATTCTGCTACTTTTTACTTTTTAGAGCAACCAAGTCTTTTATTTGTACACTGTATACTTTTCAATAATGTATGTAATCATGTAATTTTTATCCAACAGATGAAGTATATTGTTTACTCATACATGTTGTTTTTACTAACCCATTGATATGTACTTTTACTAACAAGAGGACCATGTGTTAGATAAGCCTTTGGCTTAACATGTATTTATCCTCTGAAAATAAAGATTATTTTTATTATTATTATAACGTCATTTCCTAAAGGTTCTTTATCTATTTACAGTGTTTTCAATTTCTTTGTTTGTTCATGAAAGTAACATTCTTCTGAGGACAATGCAGTAATTAAGTTTTCACCAAGCAGCCTATCTAGACAAAAGTTGTTGTTTCAGGTCTTGATGCATCAGGCACAAAAGTGTGTAGCAACACTTTCGATACTTCACCGATGGTTTTTAAAAACAGTTCTTTCCAATTGAAGTTTAACTCAGATGCCTTTAATAATGCCAGTGGATTTGTGATCAGTTATATCCTTGATGCTCCGTGTAAGGGAGAAGTGACCATGATAAAGGCAGAATTACCTATAACAACGATCACGTCACCTGGATATCCATCCTCTTATCCTGGGTAAGGAGAGATTATTTTTACTGTCTATATGTTACTTGACATATTTGATACATAATGTGTTCAACTGAGCTCTTCTTCAAGGTAATAAAAACTTGAAAACTTGGAAATTGCTTAAATCACTTACATTTTGTGCTGGATTTATATTTGCATTTATACGTGAGTCAATCACGAATTCAAATCCCTGGCTATTATTTGTATTTAAATACCTCTGAATGGCATCCATATTGATTCAGTAATTGATATTGGAGTTTTGAAGAGTCCATATTTTAGATAACTCATCATTCATGAATTCAATGTTATTTCTAGATCAGCGTTTGTGAAATCACGTATTCACGAATATGTCTGACAAGGTAAATTAATGAAATAATGTGTTTGCTGAATCTAGGTGATATACAGTATGCCTTCATTGTTGAAGGCATTACTTTAAATCAGTTGATTCCTGTTCATGTTGCTGCAGCCTTAGAAAGATGACATTTTTGACAAATCTTGAAGTAAACTAGTAAAACATGTGGGTGTATGTGTTAATGTAGCTGAGATATTTAGTATGCCTGTATTGTACATTTGTATGTGGTGATGACCGTTACTAATTCCTTCAAGTTTATATCAAAGAGCTTGGTTATACATAACGTAGATGTAGAACAATGTATCACCCACAAAACACACCTCTCTATATGTATATGTGTGTTGTAAATTGTACCGAAGACATTGTATAATTCCTAACAGGTGTTTATTTAAACATTGGAATTTTGTTTTTAAGGTGTATGAAGTCTATTCACAAAATGTTTTCAGGAAACTATACATTGCATGTTATATCCCACAACAAGACATAATGGTACTCACATTTACACTTCACGCTTCCTTTTTTCCCTAGGTTTTTATTTGTTTTTAAGCTAGAATCAGCCATAAAATGATGACAAAATGATTGTTGATAAGAAACATTGATTTGATATACTGTTATCCCAGACACATGATAAATGGCACTTACAATCTGATGGGTTAATGTAGTGGTTTCATTAAAACAGATCAGCATACATTTTCTATGTGTTTGTATGATGAGTTTTTTCTAAGTTACAAGCTAACTAGATGCCTATTGTCTTCTTTGGCTAGTGTTGGAAGAAGTGGTGGATATGTTTGTAAATGGCACATTGAAGCTGATACTAACACCACAGGAATTATCATCAAATACTCGTTTGAATCCATTCAACTTGGAGATACCTTGGCTTTGTATGAAGGTAACCAATTATGTTGAGAGTTAGAGTAATATGGCCCTTACAGTTATGGTGGCCTATAACCATTGTGTTTCTTTCATCATACTTTGTACGTTTGTAAATATTTTTTAACTTTTTCTCCAAACCCTTACATAAAAACGTTCCTTGGTAAAAGGTGAACCAAAGATGTAAATCATATGGTTCCCACTTTTCAGGACCTAAGGGATGGGGTCAAAAGGGGTGAAAATAAATTAGCTTCCAAAATTTGTTTTTCTCAAGAAGCCGCTTTAATCCCCTTGGGGGCGGGATAAAGTTTATTGTAGTTTCTACAGGAAAGTTACAATGTTTTAATATTTATTGGAAATAATTCAGATTTTGTCAGAATTATTTGTAGAGTGGTGGCAATTAAGAAGAATATGATTTCAAGTTTGCAGAAAATGTCTTGATGAACCAACAATGTCTTCTATGTAAGCTGTAGAGCGATTGGGCAATCTATCTTAGGCCTATTTTGCCTCTTTCATATAAAGGTCTTTAGTCAGATGACTGTTGAGGCCTATGGGCCTTTTGTTTTTCAATTGTTTCTGTTTTGTATTTGACTTCTTACATTGAATGTTGTGAATGATGAAATACATTTTTTATTGTGTGGTGATTCAGTCAATCTAATTGATTAAATCTATTTTATCAGCTCTTTTCAAATTTCATTGAAGGTTGTGATAGCACCGGTGTAGAGAAATACAAGTCAAAGAGTAACAACAGACACACAAGGGAAAGTTCTACTACAAGTTTCAAAGGTTCAGCCTACGTGGAGTTCAGTGTGACCTCGGCTTCTGGAGATTTGGGTCTAAAGATGCAGATAACATCACAACAAGCAAGTGGTAATGTTTAAAATACTTTTACCCCATCAATGTAATGATAATAATCAAGGATGATCAGATGGCACAATAGTAATACATTCAATATCCTTCACCTAAGTGACTGGAATTTGATTTCTAAATAGGACCTGAAAAGGTATGAGGTCACTTGTTATACAGGTAACCTACTCTGTATAATATGAAACATTTATGGCAATTGTACACCTACCTGTTTATCAATAAACATTAGCGGTTGTTATTAGCTCATGTGGCCTGAAGAGCAAAGTAAAATGCTTCATTTGGTACAGTGAACTCCCTCCCCCCACCCACACTCGAAATTTCCCCACCCCAGAAATATTTTTTGTTATTTGTATGTTAATATAATTGAATTAGGGTGATTAGAAAAAAAAAGTGGTGAAAAAAGGTAAGTAGATAGAAAATAGTGTAAAGCTTCACTTTACTATTGCCCCTTGCCCTACCCTGAATTTCCCCACCCTTGTTAGTTTTTTCATTTTATTATGTATGCAGGAACATAATTAAGTAAACTGAAGTGTAAAGCAGCTTCACTTTACCATGGTTTCACTTTATCATACTATAGCGGGACCAATTAGGGGAAATGGCGCAAATTCTTTAAAATCCTACTCTTCCTGAAGGAACAGTTGTATTTTTCAAGGCGATTCAATCTTGTGTGGACATTAGGTCTGAGCCCTCTAGGGCAGGAGGGAAAGGACCCAATATGGGTTAATAGAGCAAATCTTTCAAAATCCTACTTCTTCTGTAGGAATGATTCAGAAATTCATTGGCATTACTCTATTCACTTCATTCCTTGAGACATTCACATCAAACTGTACACACTTATACAGGGTGAAAATATCTCCGGCAAATTTGAGTGTCAGGTTTGTTGGTTTGAGGTCAAGGGCACTTGCTACTTTTAGAAAATCAGGGTCAGCACTCTAGTGGCTTCATTTGTTAAGGAATATTCATAAAACTTCCTACGCTTTTAATGCATTCAGAGATCTTGAATAAGTTAGAGTTTCAGGTCTGTTTGGTCAAGATCAGAAATAAGATTAAGAACATTTTTGTCGGCCTTCTTGTGGCTTTGATCCTAAAAGGATTTTGCTTGAAGATCACACACTAAAAATGACCATCAGACATTAATTTTGCATTGGTGATGAAACTCCCGCCTAAAATTACATTTCAAATTTGACCCAGAGCGCTGATATTAGATCTTTAAATGACTTTTTCTCAATGATTAAAAGGTTCTGTGTGCTAGGATGAAGGTCTACCAAGTTTGTGTATATGAATGACCTTGACCCGCTTTTATGGTCACAGGGAATAAATAAGTTATAAATCTTTAAACAACTTCTTCTAAAAATCAAAATGCCAAAAGTGTTGCTATTTGGTCTGCAGCATGCTGGGATGAAAGGCTATTAAATGCATTCATACTATTGACTAGTTGTCATATGTTGAAATGTTTAAAACAACTTCTCCAAAACCACAAAGCCCAGTTTGCTGATATTGGGCATGTAGTATGGATGGATGAAAGACTTCCAAGTCTGTTAAAGTGAATGACCTTAACCTTTTTTCAAGGTCACAGGGGTTAATTAAATGTGTTGAACTGCTTTAACTTCTCAATAACCAAAAGGCAAAGAGTCTTGATATTGGGCGTGTAGTATTCTTTTTCAACAAAAATATGTCCAGAGTAATGGCATTTGTGTAGTGCATGCATAAGGAATATGATTTTAGGTTTGCAGAAAAAAACTCTTTATGAACCAACAATGTCTTTCATGTAAGTTATAGTGTAGTTGAGCAATTTATTTCATGCCTATTCGGCCTTTTCCATATATTGGTCTTTATGGTCAGATGACTGTTAAGGCCAATGGTACTCTTATTACATTAAAATCAGTGAAAAACTATTTGTATACTTTTTATACTCCCCTCAGGGCAGCATATAGTTACCACCTTTTCCATCTTTTCATCTGTCCTTTCATGTCCACAGCATTACTTTGCTCCAAGTTAAGCAAAGATCATGGTGTTTGGTGTATACATTGGTAATACTAAGGGGATATGCAGTGTACTGCCCTTTGTTATAATTTCATATCTGGAGTGTAACTTTGCCCACAATTAAGCAATGATCACAAAATTTGTGTCTATATTGATCATACTAAAACAATGTGCTGTATACCAAATTCAGGGCCCTTGACCTCTTGATTAGAGAGTTATTGCTCTTTCTCAGAGTTATTGTTCAGATCTTGTGTGACGAGCTTAGCTTTGCTTGCATTAAATCTATGAGCATGAAACTTGCTGTATACCAAATTCAGGGCCTGCAACACCTTAATTACAGAATCAAAGTCGTTTTCGGGGAGCAGTCATCAGTTTTACTGATACTCTTGTTTTTTTTTATATTAACACCAAACAGTACCATCTGTAAATCATTACCATGTAATAGGTTGGAGGAGCTGGTGGTAGGAAACAAGCTTTTCTTTAGAAATACACAGTATGCTTGATATTACTTATGAATTGAATAGAAAATTAACAAATTATATTTGGTGCAGTGGTCTCTTTCTTTCACAGACAACACAGAAGCATGTGGATCCAATGGCAAAACTGTTGTAGCTACAAAGGAAGTCCAGTATTTTACCAGTAGCAATTTCCCTGAATCATATCAGGTGTAAGTTAGAATAACATTGGATGTTATCATTTGGGAACCTATTGAATATTAATCTGTGATGATTAATTGTCACTGTTGCCGATTTACACTCATTTAAGCTGGTTTGATGCAAAGTCTTTTTGAATCTCTTTACTTATTTAATTAGAGTTACAAGTAGATGGTTAAACATAATTGGTTTGAGGACTTTTTATGTCGGTGTATTTGAACCTGTGATATTTGATATATATTACTTATCATATGATTTGCATTTAACTTGTATAATGACATTATCCTTTCATCTAACCTGTTTTATATATGAAGCTGTATTAATGTTGATTATGTATTAATCATATCTATGAAGAAATCGATGCACTGTCAATTGCATCTTCTGTATTGACAGGAATGAAAACTGCCAGTGGATGATCTCTGCAGGAAATTCTGGAGAAATCGTTATTCTGACGGTTGAGTTCTATGATATAGAAAAGGATTCTACCTGTTCGTATGATTATCTTTTAATTACAGGTAATATTAATACCTACTTGTTGTCATCTCTTAATTTTTGACAAGGACTTCTGTTCCTAAACAATGCAATTCTTTAAGGATTGTTTTTCTGTCCTGAGTCAAAGTGCATTTTATATCTTGAGACTTTGATGAAAAATTCTATTAATCTTTCAGACCATTGAAAGTTCATAAGTTGGTAAGGATGATTCATTCTTTGTTTGCCTGATGTTGATTTTACCCTGTGCCTGTTGATGGAAGTCAAAATAATTCCTCAATTAGAGAATTTATTTCCTCACTAAAAAAAAATATGTTTTTGAAACAGTGACTTGTTAGCTCACCTGGTCCAAAGGGCCAAGTGAGCTTATGCCATAACGCGGTGTCCGTTGTCCGTCATTCGACCGTCCGTCTGTCGTCCGTCCTGCGTCCATCAACTTTTCATTTTAAAAAACTTCTGGAATACTGAAAGGCGTAGAGTTATCATATTTGGCTGGAAGGTTCCTTTGATGAAGCTTAACAAAGTTTGTGAAAAGAAAAAAACCTTGACCCATATTCAAGGTCAAAGAGATCAAATGTGTTAAAAACTTTAAGCAACTTATTTCAAAATACCAGGAGGCCTAGAATCATTATATTAGGCTACTATGTTCCTCTTATGGTGTCCTACAAAGTTCGCTAAAATAAATGACCTTGACCAATCTTCAAGGTCACTGGATTCAAATGTCTTAAAAAGTTAAAACAATTTCTTCTGTAATATCGAAAAGCCTAGAATCATTATATTTGGTCAGTTATTCCTTTTATGAAGTCCAAGAAAGTTTGCAAAAAGAAATGACGTTGATCTATAGTCAAGGTCACAGGGGTCAAATGTTTGAACAACTTCTGCTTAACCAAAAGGCCTAAAATCCTAATATTTGGCCAAAAGGTTCCCTTAATGGTGCCCACATAGGGTGTGAAAAAATAGCTTGACCCATAAAAATATTTAAGGTCACTAGGGTTAAATTTGGTAAACTCATGAACAACATCTGATTGACCAAAGGCTATCATATTTGGCCAGTAAAAGTTTCACAAAGGCTTATATACAAATATGTAGAACCTTCCAATGACTTATTAAATGAATATATTTGGCTGGGAATTTTCTTGGCATAATTTGGAATAAGTTGTAAAGACCTTTCACATAGATGTCACACTGTTCCAAAAGATAGATTAGGCCAAGTCCCTGGAGACCTGAGCGGCTTGATCTAAGTAATGTGAAAAACTACGTGTTAGCCAATTACTTATGTTCTATTCACAGTCTTAAAATACAGAAAACATGATCGGACAGAGAATTGCAAGAGCTTCATTTTGATTTAAGATTCTTCATAATTATAGCATAAATAAATAAGAAATTCAAAGTTGATCCCATTTGCTATGCAGTGTTTATAGGCCTACAGTAAACTGTTATCAGTATATCTCCAGTAACCGGGGCTTAACTGACCATGGTGACATCACTAATGATATGCATGAAACATTTTATTATTGGTTTTGAGTTAGACCCCAAACTTTCAGAGTTATACTAGAAAGAAATTCCTCAGCGACAAGTAAACATGGATTTGGTGATAAGAAATTCAAAGGTTAATGCAAAAGACAAATTTATCGTTTATGAAAATTAAATATCAGCCGAATGGATGTTGATACTGCTTTTATTCTGTCTCATAAATTTTTCACATTGTAATGATGTTTCTTCTGATAGAAAATAAATGGTATTTGAAATCCATTTTGACGTGGAATTAAAAACAAGTATTCTTTCATTTCCTTTTGGGTTTGCACTCTTTGAATAGATGAAATCACAATAATATTAGTTCCGTGCAAGATTGATTAGAACACTCAGTAGAACTTCTATAGAGAATAATATATCTTTTAGTAACAATTATGAGTATTAGTGGAGTTAAAGCCAAAGAGTGTCAAATTAGTCTCAAGAGAAATACACTTTAGCAAAGCATTAAGGTGTGTGATATTGCTACGGGTACCAGCAGGGGCACAGAGCATTCTATTTAAAAATTTGGTGCCGTGACCAGAACCTGAAGGCGCGATTATAACGTAATATACACAATACAATATAGAGCATGGACGAATGAAAGGAAAAATGCCTGTAACAGTATGTGTCAGTGGTATTTTTACATGAAGATTACACTCTACATATAATTTTATTTGGTTTTCTGTTGTATTTGCAATTTTCAAATTTACAATGCCCAAATACCAAAAGATAAGTAAGTAATATTAAATTTGCTTAGTGTGAGACACGGTTACATGTGTACAATTCATCTATATTGTCATTTCAGGTCTGAACACAACTGACGATAAAATTTGTGGAACAGACTTTTCTCATCCACTCCGTACTTATAACGATACGAGTTTCAATGTCAGTTTTAAGAGTGATGGTGCTGATAATAAAAAAGGTTTTGTGTTTAGTGTTGTTCTGGACAAACCATGTACTTCAAATACCCCAACAATGCTGACAGCTGACATCGATGTGAAAAGCATTTCCTCTGAGGATTATCCTAATAATTATACATGGTAAGTCCAGATAAAGTTGCCTTTGTTTTAGGAATTGAAATGGAAATACA